TACGACGTTCAAGTCCCTATCTCGCAGACACGTCCTTTCGATAGTGCCTTCGAGCGCTCGGTTAGACAATATCTTCACGCTATTCCAGTCCCTTGGGAGCCTTCGTTAGACCATGTTTACGACGTTCAAGTACCTATCTCGAGGAAGCGTACTTAAGATAGGGACTTCTGGAGTTATGTTCGACCATATGGGAGCTATGCTCGGGAGATAATGTTACCGTTCCTGGACCTGACCTGCTTATCTCTGCTCCTGACCACCCACGTACCCGGACGTTCAAGTCCCTATCTCGCAGACATGTCCATTAGATAGTGTGCCGCTCAGATGATTCAGATGATGCAGATGATGCAAAGCAGAAACTTGCATTTCTTGCATCCCTAAAGCCTTCAAGATACCCAACATTAGCACGAAAGCACTTTAAGCCGGTTCCAAAAACGTGAAAAAACACAGGATTCTAGAGCAAAAATGCCCTCCCCCCCTAGCTAAAGCTACAGTATACTGGCGATACTTAGGAATCACGCGTGCCCTATAAAACGCCTCAGCACCTTCGGTGCGGGCGGATTTGTAGACCATACAGTGCTAGAAGATGCTGATGCGGATTCTCCAAGACACCTCAGACACATTGACAAAGAATGGATGATCCAAAAGGTTATTTCGACATACTTTATCTTTGATGCCACAGCCTCTTTTGCAACATATCAGATTGTCCACAACTTGAAGGCGCGAGATGTGCGCTTTTCTAGTGTTTAAGGTCACATACTGCGTGATTTGATGAGGGACAGTATTTTTGAGCCTAGGCTGTGACATGTTTGTAGTGTAGGCAAACCTCGTGCTAGTGTGCTTTCACCGCTGTGGATTGATGGCTTCCGTTTCTTTTCGGAGATGCCACATCTTCGATCCACTGTGCAGATGGTATGCGGTTGTCAGTCTTTGGACATAGTATCCAGGTGTTTTGCAGGGCTGATGTTTGAGGAAGGATTCCTGCTGAACACCAGAAATCAGGTGCTGGACTTGGAATTTGACCTTGCTCCCATGTCGTTTGAGTTCCACCCATCTCGAAACGACACTGGAGATCAATGTAGAAAGGTTGCCTCTGAAGCGATCCTTTCCAAGCCCTCGGAGCGAGCCCGTTGTGGGTCAGAAACGCCCTAGTCACACCGCTGGCCTGGAGGGTTGCGCACCATGGAGCTGGACTCTGTAGCAAATACAACATGTTGGGGGGTAAACGGGGGGGGGGTTGCCCCGACCGCAACATACCGAGGCTGCAAAAACCCTGCGTTTTACAGGGTTTCGTGGGTTTCAGGACACTCAACTTATCGTCTTGGAACTCATGAGTTCCAAGACGATAAGTTGAATGCCTTTTGAAGGCCGTTCGGTCCGGTCCCCGGGTTTCGCCTGCTCCGTGGTATGCTTGGCAAGGCACATTTTCCACCCGGCAGACGTCAGTCTTGTTCCCAACTGAGCCATATGAGCTCATTGTACATTTGAGCTGGCGGACAAGTCTCTATGTATTCTGACAGCCTCGAGCAATGAGTCCAACCCTGGATGTTGGCTGAACCACAAAGCTGCAAGGCCTTTAACGTGCTGTCGTTGCAGCTTTGCATCGCAACGGCCAAGAAGACCCATTCTACGGCCAAGAAGACCCATTCTACGGCCAAGAAGACCCATTCGACCAACGTCAACCACAAACAAACCTCGAACGTCGAGCCCGTCATGTCCTGTAAGCCAAGAACAGCAACGCCAAGGTCGAATTAAGCGAGTAGTCGAGCGAACGAAAGGCTGCCGTCCACAAACAAACGTCAAGGTCGATGTGGACGGGTAGTAACACGGACGAAGCTGACCCCGCCCCACCCCACCCCCGCACCCCAACCCCGAATACCCGTCAACTGATCGGATACATGTTGCCGGCGGGGCAAACCCCTCGTTGGCCCAACATGTTGCTATCAGACCAGCCGAGGCGCTTGAGGCCAACCCACCTAGTGCAAGTGGATGACAGCGAGACAATGCGCCTTGTGAGATCATGTTTGGCTCACAGAGTAGGACCAGGCATTTCTGATGGATGCAAGTAGGGGCAGCCATTTGCAACAGTAAAAATTGCATGAAAGCGTGGCCTTGCAGCCCCTTTTTCATCACGACTGCCCAGCAAGCTGGCTGGTCAAGCCCGTGTGGACGTCCACATGTCCTGAGCAGTTTACAAGCTCGTTCTTCCGCGGCCGATGTTCCGGCGAGTGACATGAACTGCTTGGAGTGAGTGTTTATTGTAGAGGAGAGGCATCGGACCAAGCCATAGCTGAAGATATTTGACGGGGATTGGCCATGGGAAAGTTGGGTGTGGGGAGGGGAAGTCTTAAGTTGCTCTTACCAGCCTGGCGCAGTTGAATCTGTTAGATGGAAGAGGGCAGGCTAAAAAGCACCACCCGCTTGCACACCTAAAACATCAAAATCCGCACAGAGCGCGTGTTCCCCTCTTGTGTCACCGAATACGGCACAAAGAGGTACTTATCCCTCTAGATTGCAGATGTTGAGGTGCATAGAGTGGCATTGGTGACCGTCTGGTTCAACCTACGCCATGCTGACAACTGTAAAAACCTTTAATGACTCGGCAGCGCTAGCTCTGTGACTACTAGTGCGCAGAAAGAAGGAAAGAGAACCCTTGAATGGCGCCCCTCACTACTGTTTGTTCTTGCTGTATGAAGCAATGGGAGACTGGGGTTTGCTGAGTGTTAGAGCATTCCTTATGCCTCTTCCGTGCAGGACGCGACTGTGCAAAATGGGGAAGGTGTTGCTGGCATAGATTTTGGGAGCAGAGACTATGGTGGTTTGAAAAGAAAACAAGCGCATGCGCAACAGTTCCCCCTAAGCGACAAACTAAAGGATCATGGCATCTACAATAGGCAACACACACACACAAAAACCCGACTTCCTCATCGTGCCTTTGGACGCTTAAAAGCCGCAGGTCTCCGTATGCGATCTTTGCCTTTCAATTTGGACTTCGAAGAGAGCACCGGCGGAATGGCGCCTTGGAGACATTGAGGAGTGAGCAAGAAACCAGTTGTATGCCTTGTACACTGTACTTAACTTACATATACACATTTTGTCACATCTTTGTATCATGAGTCCTTCTTAAATTGGCAAGGATAATCAGTTCCTTTAACCAAGAGAGAAAGATGACGAGTAGATTTCAAACATCTAGCAAAAGAGGCTGCTTGCAGACACCATCATGAATCAATACAGCAATATTTCCAGCAAACGTGCACAGTGCACACACACACACACATTTGTTTGTCTCTCCCAAAAGACGCTTGTAGCCACGTGCTCCCAAGATTCAACTTGTTCTACCTGGGTTCGAGCCTCAATTGTGGGCTTGGCGTTGCAGGTCTGGCGGTACCGAGAGAGGATGCGTTTGTCGGACTGAAGAGGAAGAAACCCTAAAGATTGATGTCAATTTTGATCTTTAGATGCGGTGTGGCAATCAATGTTACAAGCTTGCTCCGCTTTGGGCCTCAAAAAACGCACTCTATTGTAGTGAGAGAATACCAGGCACGCGGGGATGCTTGGTGATTCAATGCAGTGGAAAGACTAGGTCACTACCTACGCACCTAGCGTAGTGTGGCTCATGTAAATTCGTGGCTCTTCTAGATCCGACCTGTGAATTCTGAGGCTGCAGAAGATGCCCACTGAGCGGGAATACAGAATTCTCTTTGAGGCATTCACTCCTAGGCGACATGCAGCCGGGGTGCTCAATTCATGGCCTCTCATTCGAGTGTAAAGAAGGTCATTGAGTCATTGGGCAGGAATCTTGTCATTCCATTTTGTGAATAGGGTCAACCCTGATAATTTATAATTTGATGTGTGTTTGACTTACCTTGTAGTGAGCAGTTGTCTAGAGTCTAGAGTAGTCCCTTTCCCAACAAGGGTGACAGATCTGAGAGGAGATTTGTTTAACTCCTTTGACCTGACAAAGTTCGGGGTGGCGAAGACCAGACGTGCCCAGTTGCGGGTGCCTAACGACCTGTGGGTGGTGGAAATCACCGATGACTACAAGCTGGCACAAGTTCAGGCGTGGGAGAGTGCTGGAGAAGGTGAAACCAATGCGATGGCCTCCAACCTAGAACCGATGGTCTCCAACCTACTAGTCACTAGTCGAAAAGTTGTTTTTCAATTATTTGTGCTATTTCATCGTCCAACCCAAGGACTTACATAGTGTCCTCACATGGCTTACGAGTCCTTGGTGCCAATAATTGCGAGACAGAGACACTTCGGACTTGCTTCGGCCGTTTCTTGAGCTCAGAAAAGCTCGCCTTTGTCCAGTGCCGCATTTTGTGCCATGTGGCTGCATGGGAGTCTGGGTTGGCTCCTTGTCCTAGCTTGGTATGTTTGCGCAGCACCGGAGCCAGAACATGTTGCAGCGAGTTTCGCAGGAAAAACAGAGCCAGAACCTCCTGTAGCAGATCATGACGAAGAAAGTGCCGGCGTTGGTGCTTGTAGCCAGTGTCCCGTTCGGTTGCTGGAGGTGGTGAATGAAGAGGCTCCTGATGCGGCTCAGCTCCAATTGAATGATGCAGGTCTCCGATATTTGGAGTCCCAGCGCTCACCGCTGTTCCTGATCCCAGCCTTGGGCGTCTACCGTGGGGGCAAGTCTCTGTTGCTGAATCGTCTCATGCAGCGGCAAGCGCCTTATGCCCAGAGCTTTGGGATTGGCCATGGACAAGAAACCTTCACCAGAGGAATTGAGATCTGTGCTGAAGCCCTGCCAAATCACGGGGGCACAGTGGTTTGGATGGACACTGAGGGGCTATTCTCCTCTGAGGATGCGCGAAGTGCCTATGGGCCAAAGATTTTTAGCCTCGCCCTTCTCTTTTCCTCTGTAGTACTTCTAAACAATCTCAAGGTCCTGAACCAGCAGTTCTTCGTATTCTTTGAAGAGCAGCAGCAGGTGGCCCGAATCCTACGCGAGGGCCTGCGTTCTGAAGGCATGCGAAGTGACCTGCTACTTCCAGAGAACCTGCCGATCGTCTGGGTCTTGCAGCAGCCCATCAACTTTGCAGCCTCTGCCGAGGCCAGTCGACATCAGTTGGATTCTTTTCTGACCATTCAAGACAAAGCTCGCGAAAGAATCAAAGATTCCTTCAAGCACCTCATCCATGAGGTGCCCACTGCCACGCATGATGCAAGGCAGTGGTCCAAGTTGGATCAGGTTTCAGACAACCAGTTGCTGCTAGAGTACGTCTCAGCCACAAAAGACTTGCGATACATACTGCTCACACAGTTGCAGACGGCCAGACCACTGCAAGCTCCCAGTGTGGCGGCACAGCTGAGGATGTATGTGGACCTGGTGCAAAAGGACCACTTCAGCATTTCCTTAGCAAAAGAAGCCTTTGAGGACTCCCATGTGGCACAGCTCTGTGAGAGCTTTGGACAGAATGCGCAGGACTTGGCTTCTGGCTTGCCCGCTGTCAACCTCTCCTTGGCCATGAACATGTCGGAGCAGTTGATCCAAGAGCAGCGTGACATGATCATCAGAGATTTTCACCTCGGTGATGCTTTCCTACGCCGCTTGCAGCAATGTTTAGACAGGAAGCGGCTGGAGTTGGAAGACATGAATGGGGAACTGGTCTTAGAAGAATGGCAAAAGGATGTTCACAAGGTCGCGGAGTCCGGACGCTGCTTCATCCTCTCAAAGCTTGCTTTGGAGCTCCCACGGTACAGAAGCAAGTACGGCCCTGTTTTCAGCAAACCACTGGAGGCGAAGGCGAGGGACTTTGCCTTACAAGTGCAACGTTCACGTGTGGCGGGATGTGTCCTTTTGCGACACTTTGCTGTGCCTGTTGCACCATGGTTTGCCTGGCCAATCATGGCTCTTTATATCCGTCAGGGCGTTCTTTCGGGCATTTTGACCATGGGCGTCCATGGGGTAGTTCTGGCAGGAATTTACTCAATCCTGCAGTTCATGGGTCGTCTGCCTTTCTACGTAGATTTGGACTACCAAGTCTTGAGGCAGCATCCAGGCCTCTTGGAGTGGGTGATGAGATACCCACAGATCCCCTGGGACTTACTGTCCCAGATCTGTGGGATTCTGGGTTGGATCCGGGTGGCTTGGATTCTGGGATCGCAGATGTTCAGACCAGTGGAGACCAGAACCATTGGACAGCTCTCCAATCTGGAGCTCAAGGTGAACACCCTATTGGAGCGTACAGAGGCTGATGTCAAGGAGAAGATTGTCACTTCTGCGCTGGAGGCAGCGCTAAGCATCGACAGCAACGATCCAGCAGCAGCTGCATTGTCTTTGGTCAAGGGCCTTATGGTTGTCAGCCAGGCGTCTATGGGTCTATGGCTCAATTTCTCCCCACTGGAACAGTGCAATCATACTATACAAATTATACAATTAATAGTAATAATAGTTTATTAATGTTAATTAGTTGCGAACCATTCTAAGAGAAATACCAGTTTTTTTGGAGGCTCTTGACATTCGACCCTTTTTCAACTTTCAACCGTTTTTATTTCCGGCCAGGTGGGCAGTTCGGATACGCACTTCGCCTACCTCTTTGAGGCTGAGCATCGAAGCCTTGCACGTGCCACAGTGAAGAGCTTTCACTTTCCGGACAAAGACTCCCAGTCTCGGTGCGCGGCATCCTGTAAGAAGGATTCGAGTAAACTGCTGCGCCTTGCAATCAGCAATGAATGGGATGAGCTGATTCCAGCCATGGTGGTGACCTTGGAGAAACTCAGTGGACGAAAGGATGTGAAGGATGGTGTGACGAGCTCCAAACCTTCCAGAAGGCTCTTTCAGGATGTGGAGGATGATGAGGTTGAAGAGGCTCAGGAGCAGAGCTGCTGTGGGTGCTTCTGCAGGTTCTGCATCGTCCTGCTTTTGGTGCTTGCAGGTTTCGTAGGTGCGGCATGGCTGCTGGAGTTCTCCAGTCGAGCTGGATTACTTCCAACGGCAGAGTCGACATTGCCCAATTCAAAGGCTTCTTGAGCTTGGCCAATTAATGCAAAAAGATGCACTGGCTTTTTACAACTGCTCTTCTTTTCTCTTCTGAATCCCTTTTACCTGGATCTTTCTCAGGTTAACGATTATATTAAACTTTAATGTGCTTGATGCTCACCAGCAAGTTGAGAGAACGACTTTGACCTTTTGACACCAGGTCTCTGAGCAGAAAGGCTCCCTAGATGACTTTGAATTGCTCAGCAAGGCCTGGAATGGACTAAACTTTTAAGATGGGAGTTTACTCCAGAGATTCCGAAGTTCTTTGTGCCAGCCACAATCTTCTCAAGATGTCACCACATGTCACCGCCACTGTCAGGTGAAATGACGTTGAGGCATCAGCCTTGGTTAGATCGATGAAACCGCACAGGTCAACTTCACCGCGACCACAGCACACGCCCCACCCGAAGTGGTCATCACATTGGAGGCTGGCTCTGGGATGTCGGTGGCCATGGGTGGTGACGGGTGGCCGTGGGTGGCCTTGGAGGCAAGTTGTGAAAGTGAGATAGTCCACCGGTCGGATTTGTGATATACTTAGTCTGATAGTTCCATTTATGTAAATAAGGACGCTGCTAGGGGCTCCCGGCCTTACTACTAGGAGCAAGAAGCTACTAGGGGCTCCGGGCATCGCTACTAGGAGCAAGGACGCTACTAGGGGCTCCTGGTACATTGTGCTCCCTTCGCCTTGACAGAGCAAGTTCGACATGGCCCATGGCCCAAGGTGTTGCAAGGTGGTCGTATCTAGAAAGCTCACGGGGCTTGGCATCCTTCCCTTTGCAAACTTGCGTTTTCCTTGCCGTTGGTGCGATCGGGCTGAAGAGCGCACCAATTCCTTCGACATCTTTATTCACCGACACTGCGGGCGGTATGTCATCGCTTCCAGCGAATGGCCAGGTGATCCTCTACGACCTGGGGGAGGAGTCTGAGTGACCTCTCGAGAAACTTCAGCTGGCTTGCATTTGGACAGCCTGCGATGTTCAGCCCTGAAAAACAAAGGACATGGAAGGACTCACCCAAAAAGGAAAAGATATTGGAACCAGTAGGCCGGTGTCTTTGCTTTGCAACAACCGTTTCATTTGGTTGTTCTTGTGGGCAGCTTGATATCCACGACAGGTACCCAAATCGTGTGGATGTGTATGCTCCATCAGGCCTGAGCTCAAGACGAGTGCAACATCAAACATGGACTTGTTGGATAGTGCCCAGTGAAAACGGCTGAAGCCCCAAGGCCGGCTTCGTTACAGAATGACTCCCAACAGCTTTGTGTAGTCAGTTCCAGGTTACGTAGACTTACCGAGTCTGAGTTCAACTCTCCTTCACTATTCCTAGGAATATATATATATAATTAGATGAGCACAGTATCTTCCAGTTGGCCACTTGTCATTCGAAGTATGGACAAGATGTTGTTTGTCCTAGTATGTATGTGTACACTTGGTGTGAGTTTCCTTCCACAACCATACACAACCAGCCAAATATATCCAAATTATGGGGTTGGCTGGATTGATGCTCCGAGCTCCCTGAGTACTGTCTAACGTTGGCCGCATCAGCACAGACTATTGGGGTTGATACGACAGTGATCACTCGCATTGTTATCCTTAGCGCCTTAGCTCGTGTAAAGCCTGAGGCTACAAATTCCTACTGAGCTGCTTTGCGCCGGGAGAGCGAGAGCGCCTGAAGGTCTGCACTTATCCCTTGGAGACGTTGAACACGAGAAACGGGGCTGGCTTTGCGAGCGCAGAAAATATTCATCCCTCCGTTCTATAGCCTTTCCAACGCTTCCAGGTAGATGTTTGATAGGTTCCTTTTTGGTCGTGCCATACCCCGGTTGGGCCCGCAGAACAACCTGGTGTCTTGCCGGGAACGATGGACGCTCTTCAATGGGAACTACTTGAGCGGTGCCATTCTGATGGCCGCCGACAATGTGGGACCCTTAGAATCGATCATGCGTTCATTGACTTGTATGCTGCTGCATGGGAATCTCAGCAGAAAGGCTTTGTTTCCCTACTGCGAGCAGCTCTCTTTCCTCAGCTTCTGAGCATGTCTGAAAGTGTATTTCTTTGCCTGGCTCTCAGGGAGTGCTTCCACGGGACATGCCACTGACGATTAAGCTCCTGTGCAGTACACCGCCGCTCACACCAGAAAGGAGCGATGGCTAAGACCGTGTGAGGATGTTAAGTGTTTGAAGTCTCATTTCTTCTGCACTGCAAGACTTTCTGAGGCCTCTTGACACTGTAAATCACTCTAGCTCTTTAGAGCATGTGCCAGGAATTACTTCTTTGTGGTGACGAAGCAGCGGGAAGGGGATGCTGGCTGGGGCATGACCACCAAGAGCTTTGACATCACTCCAATGCCAGCAGCGGGTCTTAGTGATCGGCAAACCGCACCACCGGCACTGTCCGGCACTGTCCGGCACGGTCCCGCACGTTTGGATGCGTGCGACAGCGTCTAATATGTGTGTGATGTCCAATGCCGTTGAAACAAGGCACTTTCAACTTAAAGTTTATGAACATTACGAGGATTAGATAGGGTCCACAACTGAAACGATGTGTAGTGTCGTTTGTTTGAGGTAACCATCCGCTACACCGGTGTGGCTGGCGCTGAGGTGCCCAGCAAGTCTCATGTGGAAACTGTGCTTGTTCAATATGCCTGGATACTTTGCTTCCGCTGTCTTTACTCCTAAAGTTTGAATTTTCATGTCTTGACGTCCCTAGAGTTTTTGCACCGCAGGGTACCCTTGAAGCTCGAGTGAAAACAAGTTTGGCATCGGAGCCTTCGGGTTACGATCCAGGCGCCTTCGCCGCCATAGGCTGTCCGCTTTCTTTGGAAAGCGCCTGACTTGGACCTCAGGCTTTCTCGACCACGATTTCATCCTGGTCCCTCCTCCTGCTGGCTACGCTCTCGGCTTCAGTCGAGGTAAGTCGTGGCACTACCTGTGGTCCTGAGCAGGCCACCAGCTGTTTCACTGAATTCGACAGCTACCAGGTGGATTTGTTGGAGCACCCTTTGATCACCTTCCACCACACGATTCGGGACTTTGAGAACCCGCGCTCCTACCACCTGGCAGCGACCTTGGACGTCAAGAGTGCAAAGGTGACTGACGTCGCCTTCCTTTGGGCCCTTTGCTCGACCTACATCGCGATGGCCAATGCGACGATGTCCACGTCCGTCGGAGGCATCCCTTTGACAGAGTTCCGGAAAGACACGCCACCTGGTTGGGCTCCCAACCTTCCGGACTACCCGCTGTCCAGCTATCTACAGAAGCTGAAGTTGTGGTACCGGATCTATGACGGCCCGGACGAATCTGTTGGACCATTGGTTGCAGGCCGACTTCAAGGCCAAGCGGCCAAATTGGCCTTGAACTTGAGGCTGATTCGACCAGACGGCAACTACGATGTTGGAGACGAAGCTCTTGTTCGGTTGTCAGTGGACCAGGTCCTCGACCCCATGGACCCTACAGGACAGACAATTCTCCAACATGCAATACCTTCTGGCGTGCAAGCCCTGGCCTTCCAGTTGCGAGAAGCATTCGGCCTGAGTGAACAGGAACTCACAACCTCTGCCCTCAACGCCTTCTTCGAGTTCCGCCGAGGCAAGTTGAGCCTCCAGGAGTATGCCTCAGAATGGGAGCTTCTCTATGAGGAAGCTCAGACCAAAGCTGGCCTTGAAGTGAACCAGGTTGCCAAGACCTACCTCTTCTTCAGAGGATCTGGATTGCCCAACAAGTTCATTGAAGATGTGAAACTCCAGATCCATGGTGACCTTTCCAGGTTTCAAGAGGCCAAGAGACTTGCTTTGCGTCTGAGCCAACGAGGTGAAGGCACACAGCTCTCCAACGACCTCTATATGGAGAACTCCAGCCAGGACTATGACTTCGACAAGCCGAACACCTTCTATGGAGAAGAGTGGCATGACTCCTGGCAAGCAGATGACTGGTCTACCTGGTATGCTGATGATTGGCACACCGATGACTGGCGGAACTACTATGATGACGCTGAGTATGAGGAGTACCAGATGGACCATGAATCTTGGACACCTACAGGTCGTACTCCATCTTCAGAATGGCACACTCCACCAGAAGAGCACTACATCGGTGATCTGGATGATCAACCACCAGCATCCTCGACAGACCAGCCCACTGAGGACTCCTACTACGGCAAGGGGAACTACGGAGGATGCCATGTGTGCGGATCCAAGTGGCACATGGCCGCTCAGTGTCCTGTGAAGACGGGCAGCACGCCCTATGGTGAGAGAAAAGGCAAAGGCAAGTCAAAGAGCAAGAAAGGTCCATGGAGACCTAAAGGAAAAGGCAAAGGCAAGGGCTATGGCAAAGGCAAGAAAGGCAAGAGCTTCCGTGACGGCAAGGGCAAGTACTATGAGGACCATGTCTACTACAGGCAACAGCCCGGCAAGGGTCTTCAGTTCGACTTCTCTTCGCCTACACGGACTACCACCACAGAGCAGTTGAAGGTGACTCCTCCTGACCACAAGGAGATCTTGCCCTGGCGTCGACCTCAGTCCGCAGAAGAGACAGGTTCTGAACAGCAGTCCAGCGACGCCGCTCAAGAAGTGCCTCCTTTGCCCTCGTATTCTGCTTCTGCCAAGACATTGTCCTTTGCCACCTACGTCAACAACACCACCATGCAGGAGAACCATGCATGCTATCATGCCGTACGAGGCAAGACCAGACGAGGGTTGTTGATCGACCCCGGTGCGGCAGCTGGCCTGATCGGCTCAGAGACGCTCAGAGATCTCCTGACCTCGTGCTATCCTGAACTTCGAGACGATCAACTTCAGTGGATGGACTCAACAGCGACCATCACTGGCATCAGCGGCTGTCCCGACAAGGCCCTCGGTCGGATTGAGTTGAAGCTTCCCTTCAAAGGCATGGACGCTGTCTACACCGCCGATGTGATTGGCAATGAGGGATCTTTGTGTCCTGCTTTGGTTGGAAATCCAGCTTTGTGTGCAATGAAGGCATCACTACATTCCTGCTGGTTTGAGAATCAAGATGGACTGTTGGTGACCTGGGATTCACGCTGCAAGGACAAGCCCAAGATGTACATGTTTCGAGTTCTGCTGACCGATTCTGGTCACTACCTCCTTCCGTTGGATGAGGACACCAGCATCCCAGATGGCAACACCAGTCAGCAGACATGCCATTTTCTTCGGCATCTGTCAGAAGAATCCCATCGACACTGGCCTGACCATGCATACACTTTCTGGCAACAGGCTACAGGCACCACCATCCCAGAGCAGCAGCGGAGTACCCGCGAGAGTGTGGCTGACTACGTTTCCACCCTCGTGGCAACCTCAACCAAAGCAGACAAGGACCAAGACAGATCGACCTCATGCTCCACAACCGCTGAAGCAGACAGGAACCACAGCAGACTGACCTCATGCTCCACGACCGTTGAAGCAAGCAAGGACCACGACAGGCATACCTCATGTTCTTCAACCGTTGATGCATCCAAGAACCACTCCACAATGACTTCATGCTCTGCAACACCTGAGGAGACAGAGGCTGAGGAGACATGCAAGAAGCCAAGATCCAAGACAGTGACCTTCCAGAATGATGCATTGCCAGATGAAGTTGATCCTCCACCGGAACCACTGGAAGACAACCTCATGTACCACCTCCAAGATCTTCCGCTATATCAAGGTGATCAACTTCCAGAAGGATTGAATGATGAAGAACGGAAGAAGCTCATCAAGGACTACAAGGCAATGCCAGAAGAGTTCTACACAAGGACGAACAGACGAATGGTCACTCCTTCTTCATTTCCAACCTGGTTTGCAGCAGCAAAGAAGCGAAAGACAAAGTGGCATGTTTGGGAATGGTGCTCTGGCTCAGGTCGATTGGGCCTCACTTGCTGCCTGGCATCCCTTGTGATTGGCTTCCCGGTTGACTACCGCTACGGCTGGGATTTGGGAAATCCATGACACCAGGCTATGCTTCGTGACGCCCTCTACACCTTTGAGCCCGAGATCTTGATTGCCACTCCCAGATGCAAGTTCTGGAGCGTTTCATCTTCACGAAGAAATCGCACTGACCTTCTCAGGGATCGTGAATCTGAACGGCCGACCTTGACCTTCATCCAAGAGTCTTTCGGTTACCAGGTTCAGCAGAAGAAGTCCTACCTGATGGAGCAACCATGGAGTTCATCCATGTGGACTGAAAGCTTGATGGTGCGCAACAAGGACTTTCCACAGTGGCAACGACCTCGGCGCACTGACCAATGTGCATTTGGTGCAGTTGATGAGAAGAGGATTCCGGTTCTGAAAGCCACTGGACTGGAAGCGTATGGCTTCAAGCTGAAGATGTCTCTCAGGAGATGCAATGGCCACCAAGGCACTCCACATGCCTCTCTTCAAGGCCAATATATGGGCGTGAACCGCACTGCTATGGCTGCGGTATATCCTGTGCGATTCTGCCAAGCTCTACTTCAAGACTTCCTGAGACACCTTCAACCAAAAGGCCTTCTTCGAGCACGACACCACGATGCTTGGATGACCCAGCACACCTACTACAAGTGTGAACGGTGCAAGTTTGGAAGAGCAGCCACTGCGGACATGGAACACACCTTCATGCCTGGTGAATGCCGCTATGGAAGAATCCCCAAGGAGAAGGAAAAGCCAGTTTCCACGCCTTGGAATGATTTCCAACGAGCTGCTCATGGTCACAAAGGGCTGTCCACCGTTCAGCTGACCGTGCCAGTCAACTACAAGCTGGCAAATGAAGAGACGGTGCTCATCAAGCATCTACTCTGCATGATTGTGGAGATGAGCATGAACGTGTTTGAAGAAGCCAATGGAACTGAATTCCATCATTGGATTCGAGATCCCATCCTGCTGTCGAACAGCAGATCCTGCTTGAAAAGCTTCCTCTACGTGCTCGGAATCCACGTGGCTCTTCACCCATTCAGCAAAGCGTTTCCAGAGCCGGAGCTTTCGGCCGAGGCCGCGCCCTTGAGATTGTGCTTTCGAGGTGAGTACCGAAAGTGGCGACTACATCCTCTCGAGGATCTCCGAGAACTTTCACCGATGCAGCAACGTGAGGAGATCATCGAAGAGAATTGGATGATCAGCTTTTTCGGCACCGCTGATCCACCTCAGAAGAGCAAGGCACCTTCCACTCCTGCTCCTGTGACACCAGCTCCAAAGATGTCAGTGCCGATGACTCCAATGCCGGGGACACCTGCGCCCGGCACGCCTATGCCCTCAGCAAGCGCTACTGCACCAGAACCTCATGATCCACAAGAACAGGCTGATCCGGCTGGAGGAGAGTCGGAGATGCCATCAGCACCATATGAGGGCATCGATCCACACATGCCTCAGATTCGCACTATGAAGCCTCTCTACAGTCTGAAACGAGTTCTCCAGAAACTGCCAGAGGCCGTGAAGGAAGAACCTGCCACTGCTCGACGCCTTCTACTTGGTCTACATGAGAAGTTGTGGCGTGCGACAGCTCGAGATTTTGCAAGTCTTCTCATGCGAGCCGGAATGCCACCAGAAGTCATTGAGATGGCATCACAAGCAGTTGCAGCATGCAGCATATGCCGCAAGTACTCCCGACTTCCTTCACGACCAAGAACCAAGGTGAGTCTGGCAGCTTGTTTTGGAGATGAAGTTGAACTCGACTTGTTCTTCCTGTGGGGAAAGACTTTCTTGATCATGGTTGATGTCGCAACTCGCTATAAGGTGGCCTTCATGATCCAGTCCAAGAGCGCCCAGGACATCATGCAGGGCATGATCACACACTGGATTCGTTTCTTTGGCCCCATGCGAGTCCTCACTGGAGATCAAGAGACTGCCATCATGACAACGCAGTCGGGCATCGAGTTTGAACGACTTGGCATCACAAGAAATCCAAAAGGCACAACCAGCGGTCTCGCATCAGCTCAGCACACCGGAACTGGCCTCATCGAAAGACACGCCAGTTTGGTCAAACTGACCATGCAGAAGATGAAAGCAGAGATGGATCGACAAGGCCTTCTTTGTGAAGACAACGATGTTGCAATGGAAGCGGCCATGTCCCACAACCTCTGCTTGACCTATGGAGGATACACTCCAGCAATGGCCGTGTTTGGTGTGCTTCCTCGAGCGATGTTTGAGTTTGAGGCTGAGACTTTGACTGCAGTGAATGGCTCAATGGACCGAGACGTGTCCATCTTTGAGTCAGCTTTGAGATTGCGATCCATCGCCATGGCTGCCATTCAACAGTCCATTGCAGAAGATAGGATCGCAAGGGCTACACGTTCCCGGCCTCAGAAATTGGACACTGCAGAACTCACCGCTGGCACATCTCAGCTCGAGATCCATCGAGATGGCAACTGGCGAGGACCAGCTACTTTGTTGGAAGTGAATGAAGATGAAGGCACCGCCGTCGTCAAGTACCAAGGAAGACCATATCTGATGCCACTGCGATTTGTCCGGCCATTTCAAGGCATCTACTTCAACATGGACACCAACCACGAAGAGATCTATCAAGTGATGAAGATGGTTGAAGAAAGCCAACAGTACAAGCAGTACTTCCTCGGCTACAAGATGATCCTTGAAAGTCATGGCCACACCATGCGATTGACTCCAGCGCAACCTCGAGAAGAGCAACAGAAGATCATTGATTCTTTCTCAAAATGGTCTCACTGGCTTCATCATCCAGTGCATGGCCTACTTTATGGACAGGCTCTACACACCCTTCAGCCACCGCCTGGAACCAGAGGAACTATTTTGATTTGGCTGAAGAACACCACTGACTACGTCAAAGTTCAGAAAGAGGATGACAGGCACATGCGACTGAAGAAGGAATACCATGTCCATTGGGACTCAATGTGCGCGCTGTACTTCCTCTACTACCCGATTGTGACACAAGAGCCTCCGCCTGTGAGTCAACCAACATCGACAAGCAGTGCACAGCCTCCTGCCATCCAAGATGACACACCGCCAGAGGAGATGGAAGTTGAATCCACTTTGCCATCAGTTCCCTCCAAGCGAATGGAACCTGAAGTGAGATCACCAGCATTAGTGCCAGACAAGAAGCCACGCATCTATGAGACTTTTCCCAGTTATGACACCTACCAGACACTGCACACTCTCCATTGGATGCTTGACCGTAAGAAGATGAATCGACTTCGACTACAAGACTTCTGGGCATCCACCATGGAGATTCCAAGATGGATGAATGGCCTGACAATGGAAGAAGTGAATGCTCATTTCTCCTGCAAAGCTGATCAAGTTCGTCAACGACACGCCTCATACCTGGTCCATCAACCTGGAAGCCGCCTTCGGCATGTTCATTTGGATCTGGCCCACGGAGGCAGCTATCTTTCGTTGACGGATGAGTTGAATATCAAGGAAGAAGAGCTGGCAGATCTCTGGCCATTGGTCGAAGAAGCAGATGCTAAGGAACTGGCACAGTTCGTCCAGGAGAAAGCATTTGAGAAGGTGCTTTTGGAAGACATCCTGGCCGACACCGTGGTGATCGATGGCATTTGGGTGCGATGCTGGAAGTACAAGCAAGGAAAGAAGATCTTGAAGAGCCGGATGTGCGCCAGGGGCTGCTTTGACCCTCAGAAGCAAGAACTATCCACTCGTTCCACCACGGCCTCCAGATTGAGCCAGAGGATTCTGTTGTCAACGGCAGCAGTGATGAACTGCCTTCCTGAGTCCTGGGACGTAAGTGGTGCTTTCTTGAAGGGCCTAACCTTTGACCGCATCCGAGAGTTGTTGTTGAAGCAAGGCATCAAGACACCTATCCGATCTGTTGTGGTCATTCCTCCCTACAACAGCTGGAGACACTTGGCAAAGGTGGACCCCTCTTTCCACCTTGAACCTTGGGAGATTCCACGCTATGGTCTTTGGTGTTTGAAGCCAGTGTACGGCCTGAACGATGCACCTGTTGCGTGGCAGCTGAGTTTGGGAGAGTTCTTGAAGAAGCAGAAAGGTGTCGCCTCGCATCTTGACGACAGCTTTTATTTTTGGAAGGATCCAGCCAAGAAGCCTGCACTGCAAGCAGCTCTCACTACTCATGTGGACGATCTGGCAGTTGCTGGCTCTCCCTACTTCCTTGACGGTCTCTACAAGGCCATGTGCAAGGAATTTGGCAAGATCACCAAAGAAAGCCTTCCATTTTCGCACTGCGGCTGCAGATATAGCCGCACCTCTTCAGGTCTGAAAGTGGATCAAAGTGACTTCGCATCTCGACTGAAGCCGGCACCTGAACCTTCTGGATCTGATGATCGAAAGCTGACGCCAGAGGAGATCACGCAGCTTCGCTCCGTCATCGGAGGTTTGATGTGGCTATGTTCAACGCGACTTGACCTGGTCGCTGACACTGGGGTACTTCAGTCTTCAGTACCAAATGCTCAGGTGCGCCACCTTCGCCTGGCGAACCAAGTCGTGAAGAAGTTTTGCTCTCCAGATAAGCTTGACCTTGGCCTTCACTACCACTTCTTTCGGCCTGGCATCAAGCTGCGACTTTGCTGCTTCCACGACGCTTCATCCGCCACCAAGGGCAAGAGTTACGCCCAGGAGGGCATCATGGTGCTGCTCATGCCGGAACTGAATGATGACATGCTCCGGCAAGATGAGATCACATGCAGCTCAGAGTGTGCCAAAAGGCTTTGTTGTTTTGGTCATATTTTGTTTGCCCACGGAGGGAAATCTAAGCGGGTTTCATACTCCACCAGCCATGCTGAAACCTTGTCAGCAGTGAACGGTCTAGAAGCTTCATCGATGGTGTTAACAAGATTGACTGAGCTTTGGCTGGATGAACCTGCACCCACCTTGGCCACACTGACCAAGTACCAGGAAGGTGGATCTTCGATCTTTCCGGTCGACTCGGTCACAGATTGTCGAGATCTGTTTGAGCTGGCAACAGGTGCCAAAGGAGTTCCACAGGATCGCCTTCAACGCCTCTACATCTTGGCGATCAAGGAGGCAAGAGTGAGCGGTCGTTTGCGCTACCTGATCCTGGCTCCGACGGGATCCATGTTGGCAGACAGTTTGACCAAGCCCATGCTGTCACTTCGAATGATGATGTTTTTGAGCACCGGCTATGTGGAAGTGGAGAACTCCGGTGACCACCGAATCCTCCTCAGGAGACTCCCGACTTTGTCTGAACTACAGGAAGAGGATTTGTTCAAGAGTGACAAGCAGATCAAGGATGAGGTGAAGCTGAATGGCCGTGGAGTCACTTCATGGATGACTTTGGGTTTTGCACCTTTTCCACGGTTGCTGCTGGCCTCAATGATGATGTACTCAGTGGCTGCCCAGAGCGATCAGCCCACAGAGCACCACGCCACCTATGACTATGGCGACCTCTACATGTTCATGATGATGTTGCTCTTTTACATGACCATGAGGTTCATGGAGTACATGTTTGTTTGGTGCACGAAGCCCACTGAAAAGCAGAAGAAGAAGCACCGAAAAGAGAAGGAAAGCGATTCTGAGAGCGAATCTGAGCGAGGCCCGGAAGTCGCAAGCGCTTCCAATGCTGTCGTGAACCGAAGTTTGAATTTGGAACCTCCAAAGCCGAATACGGAGTTCCTTTGGTTCAGCGCGACAGGTGAATGTTTCCATACGACTCCCAACTGTTCTGGAATGAAGAACTCCAAGAACAAGGTTCGTAAGCGCAGATGCTTAAATTGCTGCACCATCCATCACCAGAGCAGGAGCGGAGTTTGAATTTTCATGTCTTGACGTCCCTAGAGTTTTTGCACCGCAGGGTACCCTTGAAGCTCGAGTGAAAACAAGTCCTAATGTATTGGGCTACATTCAGACAGCACAAGGCCACTCTTCATTCCCAGCTCCTCTCAAGAGCAAACCCACCGATCGAGGACCCAGAGTCGTGAGGTCAGGATAATTTTTTTCAGAGGTGAAGGGACAGTCAAAGACTTGCTCGGAAAGTCATGGAGATGAGCAGGTATGTCACGTATTCATTTCCATAAAGTTTCTCAATGATTTGTTTGGGTCCTTCAAGTGCAGCTATTCTAAGTTTCAACAGCTAGATTGTAGACACCTCCCAGGGACCTTATTTTCTGCCACCGGTGCTCCTTGTGTACTTTCCATGTCCACCAGTAATGTTTGCCTTCAGGTGTACATTTGCGTAAGAACCTACATGGCGGAAGAAGAGTCCTTTGCCGAAGGAGTTTGAACACGATGACATGAGACACACATCCAAAGCAAAGATGGAAGCAAAACAAACATGTAACCATGTATATGATACAATATATATAGGGGGCTGTGAAAGGATGTTGATGGATTGTGCGATAAGTTGTATTGATTCCTTAGGGTTTATGCAAATACCACTTGGCAGGTGCCAATGTTCATGGCCTTGCAGATTCGATTTCCTCTGCCATGGGGTGGAAAGGTGCCTGGGGGCCCCGGTAGGCCTGAGTCTTGACCCTTGCAGCGCCCTTGCGGCCTGGACATTCACTGCTTGAGTAGTGTGTTCACCATTCAAAAAGGATATAAAGTTAAATCAAGGCACATGACATGTTTTGTTGAACGTCAATTCCTTCTAGATATGAATGAAGCTAAGAACGATAAGGGAACAAGCCACTAGCCATGCGGTGGTCAATGATTGTTTTTCCACTTGGAAGTCAAGACTTTCGGCATCAAGATTCTCTTTCTCAGAATGAGGCCACCGCCACTAGGGTCGGAGGCCATCGCTACAAGGTTGGAGGCCATCACTATTAGGGTCGGAGGCCACCGCTATTAGGGTGGAGACCATCACTATTAGCAACAAGAAGCTACTAGGGGCTCCTGGCATCGCTACTAGGAGCAAGGACGCTACTAGGGGCTCCTGGCCTTACTACTAGGGTCGGAGGCCATCGCTATTGTCAACTTGGGCGATGCAAGACGATCATCTGTGAGGTGCACATCACTGCGCCACTGGAGTACCAAATCCTTTGCCCCATTTCCAAGGTCGGGTGACTTTTAGCGTTGGGTAGTTTTGGGGGCGGGGTGAACCTTACAGGCTATCTCTTTTTGGATAAGACGCCTGTGAAATGTTCACTTGTGGTGGTAGCAGGTTTTTGGTAGGGTAAGAAGGATGTTGGCGTTCCAGCTGCATCGGCTACCTCTTGGCAGCGGTGTAAACAGTTGAAGTCACCGTTCACAGCATGGTTGGAAAAGGGCGTACTGAACATGACGTCTCAGCACATCTGATGGGCGGACTGCTCGACCTCCTACATAAATTGAAAACAGCAAATCGGGTAGCATCATTCTCGACATGGGCTTCTTTAATGCGATGCAGAATGACTGTTTTTGGATGCTTTGAACATTGGACCGTTTAGATTCCTTCTGACTCCATGGCAATGCAAGCAATTAATGCGTTCAAGAGAATTGCTGCTACTCGTACGATGTTTGTAGCATGCACCGCGTCTATATGCATGTCGCTATATTCATGCTTCAATGTCAGTCAGTCCTGATTGCAGGTTTTGCTTGCGCCGGACAACTTCCGGTTGCCCAACTGCACCCACGAGGCACACATGTCCCATGACCCATCGCTGAAGAAGTGCAGACTCTGAGCAAGTTCATCTAACAGTCTCTTCTGACTGATTGTGACACACCGTGCACAGCGAAATGCGACGCCCACCGCAATTGAGCAAGACTTTAATAGTGCTGGGGGAAGAGGCTTGTTGTGAAGTTTGTACATCGAGTTGCAATGGACAGCGGACAAACACACGAGATTGTGCGCTCTTGTTGATTGAGCTGCACAAATCCATTTGCGTCTCTCATATGATTCATTATATAGATGATGTCACAGGATCCTATCCTCAATGGATGCTTTGGGCTTCCCCTGGTCGGAGATCCAAGCCACTTGGTCAAAAGAGGGAGCCGATGCGGGGTTAGCCAGGTCTTGTGGGGTGAACAGGAATTCCAGCAGATAGGTCATCCGCTTGATTTGCTTTCAGATTTCATCAAGTTTCAGAATCATTGTTGCTGTAGCCGAACAACATCTCTCCTGAGTCCCCACGAAACAGTTTGAACAATGAATGACAATGATGAAGCCGCATATTATCCAGCAAGGCCTTTCCCGATATGCTATCCCGCTCTATCCCTTTTTGCTCCGATGTTGCAGACACTATTGACACTGATAGACGTTCTTGACTGACCGAGATGCCGTTCTTGATCCCTTGCTGCCGATTTGCGATCCTTGGCATGAAGTCTTGCTGGACTTCGAGCTGCCCAGTCGGCTCGTTTTGACTGAAAGATTATCAGTAGCTGTCCTTCAAGGAAACGAATGACTCGAAATGAGCTCCTATTTGCTTTTCCTGGGAGCGTTGCGAAAAGGTTCTTCCATAGAAAGGGTTGCATTAGTACACTTGCCTCCCTGCTTTAGATCTGCTTGTATTACAGTTGGTGTTCTAGATTCTAGATGTGCAAGTACCACACTTGAGACTTGTACATTTGCTGTTGCCAATGTAGATGTGCAAACAGTAGATTGCTTTGTGTTGCTGGATGTTGCTGATGGGCTTGGCCTTAGCGGCCTTGGCGGTGCACTGTCGCTAGACTTGGCTCTTTATACACAGCGCCTATTCTTTCTTTGCCGGTGGCCTAGCCAGACAGGCCTTGCGAAACGTGACCCTCTGCAGGAATCGTGCGTGTCGGATGCTCAAAGTTGAGGCGAAGTGCGACTTCCCGTGTGCTGGATGAGCCCTCGGCCCTTTGCGGAGATTGTGCGTGCTGGATGCTCACACGTGAGGTGAAACCCCGATGAACCCTCTCTGCGGGGGTCGTGCGTGTCGGATGGTTAAGCGCAAGGTGAAATACCGATTGTGGGGATCGTGCGTGTCGAGCGCTCAAACGTGAGGTGAAGCCGGAATGCTTGGTGACGTCGCTGAACCCTTTGCGGAGATCGTGCATGTTGAGTTGCCAAAGTAAGTAACTTACGTCGCAGATCAGAACGTTGTGTGTAACTGTCATCGACAATTGAGGTGGCGGTGCTCGTCGAAAATCAAGGTGGAGGTGGCCCAAGTGTGCAACTATCGTTGAAAATCAAGCTGGAGGTTGCCAAAGTACTCAACGGTCGTCTTTGAAAATGAAGGTGGAAGTAGCCCGAAAGTCTGCAACGGTGGCCGACCGTGGCCTCATAACTGGGAAGTTCGTAGTGCAACTACAGTGTGGGAAGCGGCTTCTGGGGAGCCGGGAGCTGCCCTCAGAATTCGCAATCTTGCAGTGCAAGTGTAGTATAGGAAACAGCTTCTGGAAACTCTGGCAGCTTGTAGAACTGGCGGTGTGGCTCAGAAGTGGCAACTTTGTAGTGCAGATGTGCTGGGAATGCGGGAGGCAGTTTGGAACTGTGGCCCCAGAAGGGGCACAGAAGTCGTATGGGAAGCAAGTTCTGAGAGCTGTGGCTTCACAACTCACAACAATGTAGTGCGGGAAACTTCTGGCAACTTTGTTGTATCTAGTCAGTGGTGCACCGTGTGGCGAATTTGCGTCTGCGACGTTGCTGAGCCATATGGATTTGCGCGGCCTCTGTGGAAAGTGTGTTTGCGTGGCTCCCCGGCATTGGGAAACGAAAAGCATGTGTGCGTAAACGTGGCGTGTTGCTGGGAAGCGGGATGATTGGCGGTGTCCATGATGCTTGGTGCACACACTTGCGGATAACGCGACAAACAAGATGCGTGATCCACACGCGTTGATACAACGTATTACAAGCTAGGGACATTGTGACGAACAACAGTTGTTTTCCAAGTCGGATAGTTTGAGCCAAATTCGTCGTAAGTTTGGTGCCAGGCCTTGGTGGAGCCAGCTGGATCCAGAGGAAAATGAAAATTTGCCGCCGATCCCCACGGTGGCTTTGCAGGTTCGGACCGTTTCGGTGCAGAAACTTTGAAATTTGGGGATCCAAGAACTACCAACTAGGCATGCTGATAACTCCCTGCAAAACCAATCTTTTTGAGCGGATAAGATGTTGCGGATCCGATGCATGCAGACTGTCGTCTAATTTTGCCGTTTTGCCAGCATTTTGGTCCCAGTCAAAAGAATATGTAACCAAAACTCTCTTGTCAGTTCACTGAACGGTTTCCCACAGATTCCTAATTTCCAGCTGCCCAACTTGTAACTGTCTGTTCGATAGCCTGTCACGGCTCAGGGCGGCTGGAAATAGGTGAGGGCCGTCGTGCTTTTTCAGTGGTAGCGGAGCCCCGATAAGGGGCTGTAGGTGGCCGTAGCTAGGCTAGGCTTGAGCCATGGAGGCTGATGCTGCCCTGGGCGCCGTGACGCCGGAGGAGAGCTCCTCACCCTCGACGGAGGAGCTGCCGCTGCCGGTGTTCCTACATCGTCATCGTCGTGGATTACATCGCAGCCTGCGGATGACGAGCCCACCGACGAGGAGAGAGCCAGCTGAAGCGGGGACCCCGAGATCCTGGCGGACAGCAAGCGGTGGGACAGAGAGAGAGGACTCACGACCTGATGGTGACAGTTCGAACCACAGCCAAGAAGATGACCCGTGGCTGCGCGATGATCCGTGGCAGCGCGGTCAGGAGAACTATGAGCCCAAGTATGACAACTGGTCTTCTCCGAGCTCTTCAATGAGTGCCTCACAGCGAGGCGCATCGGATGGATCTTGGCAGTGGGTTCGAGGAGATGAGAGGCATGACACCCGGCAGGTGTACTGGGCTGACGGTGTCGCAATGGGGCGGTTCTCATGGCGGTTCTCATGAAGCTGATAGTGGGAGCGACTGGTCATGGTCTTCAGAATCAGGTTGGTCCGGGAATGCAGGACCAAATCAATGGGGGTGGCGGGATGGACCTGCCAGGAATTGGGAGACTGATTCGGAGAGGTCAAGTACCAGTGGATGGTCATCGGCTTCCTGGAGGACCGCGAGAGAAGAATGTGAGCCTCATGCTGGAGGAGATGGGGGCGGCCATGGTTGGACTTCGAATGCACTTCACGCTGGACATGAAAGAGGTGTCGGAGGACCTGCAGGTGACTGGTCATCGGCGCGGCGGCCTATGCCAGTGGGACTACCTGCGGAGGGCGGCGAAGGTGCTCAAGTATGCCATGGGTGTCCTCGGCGAAATGGCAGTGAGGAGGCGAGACCGGGGGAAGTATCGCCCATGTCTCCTGCGGCTCCCCCAGCCGGTGAATGGAACAAGCCTACAGGCGACATTCCTTCAGGACAACCGTCTGTAGCAGGTGGGTCGGGTGGAGCTGGCGGTGGAGCTGGCGGCTTCTCTGGTTCGTCGAAGGAAGGTTCAACTACTGGGAAGATCTCCACAACCTACCCACCAATTTTCTACGCCCGGCCGGGTTAGAGTTGGGAACAATACTGGAGGACGGTGACTTTCTGGCTCGCTTCAGAAGGCAAATCGTTGCCAGTGGAAATGAGAGGCCCGCGGTTGATGCAAACAGCTGCGGGAGAGAGCCGGCAAGATCGTCCAGCACTTGACGGTTGAGCAGGTCACTTCGGAGCAGGGGGTGGAGCTCATCAAATTGGAGATGGAGAAATCTCCAATAATCAGGTTACTCGACAACAAGAAGATCGATAAACGCAGACAAAAAAGTTCATGAAGTTGACCCGCTTGGCCAACGAGAGCATCGAGAGCTTCATCAACCGAGCAGAGATTTACAGACGGGAGAACGAAGCATCCCCAGCCTACAGGGTTGGATCCTGTTTTTATGTGGGCCACTTGTTGGACAGCTGCAAGCTCACCCGCAAGGACCTTGCACTCTTGAAAGCAGCTTGTGGTGGCGATGTTGAGGATGAAACCAAGGTGATTTCAGCGATGCTCGAACTGGCTGAGCAGTTCGAAGGGGCTCCACATTGCCCCATTGGTCGGGGGGAACCCCAATCGGATAATGAAGACCAATACCTGGTCCAAAAACCTGGAACACCCACATCCTCAACTACTCCGACTTCGGCTTCTGATCATACCCCACGGCGCCGCCCTTTTCCACGGGGGCGGGGTGGCGCTTTTGGTCGTTTTCGCCGTGGCAGGATCCGTGATGCCTTGGTAGCCATCTTAGAAGATGAGGACGATGGTGAGGCATTGGGCGCTGGGGCCGAGGACTTGTTGGAGTTGATGGGTGAAGAGTCCATGGATGACGAGGAGGCCCGGTCAGATCAGTTGACTGATATGACAGAGTTCAGTGGAGTGCCAAATGAGACGTTTGTCACGGCAGCTACCTCAGAGAGTCCTTCCTCGGCACTATCCTTGGCGGAGATCTACCCAAGAGTATAAGGCCCGGAACCGGGTGCGAGAAATCAAGAAGATGAGGCAATACTTCCAGAAGGATGCACCTGGTGGACCAGCGGCAGCTCGAAACGAGCATGTGAAGAAGTGGGTGGCAGAGCAACAGAAGAAGGAACCGTGCTTCATCTGCCACCAATTAGGCCATTGAGCCAAGAGTGCCCCTACCGTCGCAAGGAGAAGCCAATGGAGACTGGGCTTTGTTGGAGACTTTAGCTTCTGCTGGAGTGTATATGGTGCACGGTGGCCGGAACTACTTGGACCAATCGAATCGTGAAGGAATGGAAGGACAACAACTGGTTCATCAAGGTGGTCCCCGAGGAAGAACAATTTCGTTTCGGGGATGGTCAAGTCGTCCAGAGCAAGTTTGCGGTATTATTGGAAGTGGCACTTGCTGGCATTCATGGCATCCTTCGGATCTCAATAGTGCATGGTACTTGTCCTCCCTTGCTCTCCAAGCCGGTTTGTTCTGCGTTGGGGTTGGTCATTGATACGGCTTCTCATTCAGTTTCTTCAAGACGATTTGGGGTGAAGGGCTATGGCCTGGGACAATCCAAAGGAGGCCACTATGTGATCCCGATAAACGATTTTGGAGGAATCTCGAGGAGGTCGATCTCGTCGGATTTTGTCATGCAGGATCACAAAGAGATTGTTGTATTGGCCGACCCGCGGGGCTCAGCAATTCGGGATTGGGACCAGGACAACCTGACCCGTCGGACTCGCTCCCGCAAGCACATGGCCGAGCGCAGACGGCAGCCTGTGAACGAGCAGCCGGAGGCCTACGAACTCAGCCAGCAGGAATGGGAAAACGTGGGACAGGACAGTGAGCTGGAAGAGATGTCCGCCCAAGAAGAGGATCCCACGGGCTTGGCTCAGGTGAGAACTCCGATGAGGACGGTGAAGCGGCAGTCTTTGAATCGCATGCTGCGGAGGAGCCCGACATCACCCAGTCCGCCAGGGCGCAAGCCCCTGGGCAAGATGAACAAGGCTCGGGACACCAAGGAGGAGCCGACTCGAGGTGCTTCGAGCTCGACAGCCCAAATGGACATGACCCAGATGAACATGGCTCAGATGCAGGCCATGATGATGAAGATGCAGGAGATGATGGCCCAGAACCTGAACAAGGAGGAGGCAGAGGTCGATCCGGGAGCGCGCCATCGCGGCCGGAGCCAGGAGCCGATTCCGGCCAAGGACAAGATGAAGAAGACGCCCAGAGCGGTCAGGACCGCCGCGCTCACAGGAGACGAAGCACCATTTCCGTCCCTGTCGACCCAGTTCTCGGACGATCCAACGATGAACTTGATGATCAGCCTCCGGAGCCAGACGTTCACTTTCAAATGGAAGCTGTTGCTGCTCATGCTCAGGATCAAGATGGCCGTGGAGATGGAGAAGCGCCGATGGAAGCGCAATCCCAGGTGGATCATGAAGATGCACGGCAACCACATTGAATTGCCAGCCTATGGGGCCATCTGGGAGCGGCTCGACAGCTGTGTTGTTCTCTGAAGGTGGCTTGGCTGGCTCAGTAGATCCAGACAACTTGGAAACGGCAGAGATGAGGGCACGCCAAAGGGACCGCATTGATCTGGTGCTCGACGATAAGGATGAGGACTATGAGGAGATGGCAGATGCGCTCCAGATGGCGCCGGACTATAAGACTGAGGATCCCGAGGGTGGCCTGTCTGCCGATGAGCAGGGTGATATGGGGACTGGCACTCCCGGCATGGGAAAACATACACTGAACCGACGTCAACGTCGGACCATTCAGCAGGGCGTGCAAAAGGCCCTTCTCACTCATGCCAAGGTCTTTGATGTCCTCCATGCCAAGTCTGCTCAGGTGAAGGCTTGGACGCTGCTGGAAGTGTTTGCAGGATGTGCGCGATTCTCTCAACGAGCCCGTCAGACACGGAGTGCCTGCTGGGATGTCCTTCCTCCTCAAGACATCCTATATATGGACTGGATTTACTAGATCCACAGCAGTTGGAGATGCTCAAGGATGTCATCCGGACACAGCGACCTGATGTCGTCACGGTCGCCCCTCCTTGCGGACCTTGGTCTGCTTGGCTTCGGATGCGCAAGCGGAAGAGTGCTCTTCGTGACCTCCGTCGCCAACATCTACCTTTTTGGGAGTTTGTCACTTGGCTTTGGGACTTTCAGTGCTCCACTGGGGGGTTGGTGGTCTTGGAACAACCCGCGTCCTCGGAAGCTTTGCGTCTTCCCATGATGACACGACGTCGCCCAGTACATCAACGAGTGGTGCACATGTGCCGGTTGGGCATGAAGGACGAGGTGAACAACCGGCCGCACAAGAAACCCACAGTAGTGCAGATGAACCATGCGGCCATCACCGCGGAGATGTTCCCGGCCCGGATGTGTCAGTGCCGACCTGGTGATCATCAGCCCATTGAAGGTTCGGTGTCGGTTTGGGATGATGAAAAGGGCAGAATGGTGGCTATGAAGAGGTCTACGCTGGCGGCTCAGTGGCCGAAGGGGTTCTGCGACTGGATGGTTTGGAGGCACTGAAGGAGGAAAATTCGCAGGTGATGATCGAATTACATCAACCTACACCGGATACCCGGATCTGGGAGGCGGTCCCCGTGGAGGTTGAGCCAACAGTTGAAGGGCAACTGCGACAACAGATGGCAGCGGTGGATGGTCTGCACCGCTACGACTACATCTCCTTCCTTGGGGCGTCGAGTGGTTTGGGCAAGAAGGTGCGCTCGACATTGGCACACTTGCATGTTGCACTTGGACATATAAGCAACGACAAGTTAGCCCGGATGATGTCACAGAACGGGGCCAAACCAATTGTCCTCCAAGCAATAAAGGACATGGAATGTCAAATATGTCGACAGGTGACAGCACCTCACACCACTCCAAAAGCTGCCTATGCTCGCCCGATGAGTTTCAATGTCCGTGTTTGCTCAGACACCTTCTATGTTTGGGATGCCAAGGCAGCCAAATTCGCAGTGACCCAGCTTCGCTGCAGAACCTGTGATCAACTGCTAGTCCGCCACCATGTCTTTCCTGCGAAGCTCAAGTGAATGGCACAGCAGATGTAGTAAATTAGTTAGTGGCAAGTGGTGCGTTGCTCATTTGCTATTATCTCCTTCATTTCTCATTTCAGCATTGCGTTAACTGTCAACAACAACAACAACAAGTCCTCCATCTGAGGTTGCAGCCTCTTGATCAAGCTCTTGAGGGCAACAGCAGGAGCATCAACCCCTTGGTGGATGCTTTTTCACTGTACCAAATGGCGATTGCTTCAGTGGATGCTGCTGCCCAATCGACGGTGTCGCTACTCCGAGATGGCTGGATCAGAGCCTTTGGTGCCCCGAATGTCCTCATGACTGATCAAGGCCCTGAGTTCCAAGGCGCGGTCGAGGGCATTCTACGGACTTTCAGTGTCTACCCTGACATGGTTCCACCGAGCGCTTCCTGGAGGATGGGGCTGGCAGAACGCCATGGTGCCGTCTTGAAGTTGATGGTGATGAAGATCATCAAGGAGAAGACGGTGATGGGTTTGGAGGAGGTGGAAACGACGGTGGCGGCGGCGGTGGCGGCTCGCAATCTGCAGTCACGAGTGTCAGGCTTCTCACCCATTCAGCTGATCTTTGGTCGATGAGCCTTCCCGGCAACCTGATGGAAGCCATTGCCGGACAGTTCAAGTTTCAGATCTCCAATCCCCAGACCATGGAGGAGGCGATCCACAGAGCGAGCTCTATTCGCCGGGCAGCGACGGAGGCCTTTCAATGGTTGGAGGCGAGCGATGCACTGAAACGTGCTGCTGGGCCCCGGGCGAGATTGCCGAGGTTGGAATTGATGGTGGAGGGCTCCATGGTGATGTTCTATGAGCCACCAGTGAGTCGCCGCGGCTTGGCGCGGCGACTCCAAGATCAGATCTCATGGGTGGGCCCGGCTGTCGTGGTGGCGGTCGAACGGTCAGATGGAGCTGTGAAGCGAGTTTGGATTCGCTATCGACACAAACTTCGTGGACTACCGCTCAAACATATTAGATTGGCCACTGGAGATGAGATGGAGTCGACCAAGGTGACGAAAGAAGCCTTGCAGGACCTGATGAAGCAACTCCACTCGGGCAGGGTGAACGTGGACATCGCGGAAGAGACACAAACCCCTGCTGTGTCGAACACACCGGCCCCACCTGATCCGAGGTATCCTCCCATGGAGTTCAGTGACGATGAACAACCTGCTGAAGACAAGCCAGTACGTGTGGAGGACCTACACCGAGCGACGTCGGTGCTAGATGATATGCCCATTTCCGTGGCTCAGAAGATCAAGCAGAAGGCTGCTGAGAGGCCGGCTGAACGCTCGACTAGGAGGAGAGTGGAGGCCGAGGCATCCTCTATTCGAGCAACGGTGGCATCATCTTCGGCGGTGGATCCTGCTCTGGCATCCGTCAGACAGAAGCGAGACTTTTACGAGACGGCCTTCAAATCGACGCAGGAGCACCTAAAGAAGATGAAGACCAAGCTTGAGAAAAAGGAGACCCTAGCGGTGATGCCGGTCAGAGATTGTGAGATCAGTGAAGAAGTTGAAGGAGGTGAATCGGAGGTTCCCAACAGTGCTGATCCCATGTACAGTCCATACTCCGACTACACAAACGTCACAGCGCCGTCAGTTGATTCACCCTTCATTGAGGTCGATCTCTTCGCGGTGCCGAGTGTCTATGACGATCAGGGTACTCCGCATGAGGTCTCCCATGACATGTATGTGGTTGACATGCTCCGAGAATGCCATCCCATCAACATTGACTATGACGTCTTGGAGGCTGATTGGCGTCCGGATGGTGACCGGAGGATTGGCATTCGGAGGAGGAACCCGACACCCTCTATGCCGGTGGCGAAGTGGAGAATGCTGGGAGATGTTCCTGGTCGTCTGAGGAAACCGCTCACTCGCAATGAGATCATTGAGGTCTACAAGAAAGCTCCTGGCCGAGCACAGGTGTTGGATGATTTGAGCGACTATATGGAGGCTCACCTTCCAGGAGAGATGCTGTTGAGGTTGAGTGGTGAACAAGATTATTGGTTGCACGCGCCATCACAACGTGAACTTTGGCGAGTACACCTTCAACCTCGACAATACATGTTTGTCCCAGGTTTTATTCCTGATGATGACCATCAGCAGGATGGACAGTCACTACCTCCAGAAGTACCTGGACTACAAGGACTACGGGCCACCCAGGTGGGATATCTGACTCCACAGGCATCCAAGGAGTACCTGGTGGACAACATCTTCTGGAAGGGCTGGATCCATCGGTGCACATGAACCAGCTGTGGAGAGGGGTCACCAGATTTGTGACAATGGATCCTGCGAAGGATCATCCAATCCTGGCTACGTGGATGCAGGGCCGTGCAGCTGCCGAAGATCTTTGGAGGCGACATCTGCGATCGAATGCAGCCTATCAAGTGTTGGTGACTGAGGGGCAGGCAGCGAACTTCTTTGACCCTTCGATGGATGACATGTTGCAATCGACAAAGCGTCTGGAGGTTGCTTTAGATGTGTTGGAGTGTTTTCAGGCATTCGAGACGACAGCAGCACTGGCACCTCCTACAGCTCATCCTCCACATCGAGGGCAACTTGAGTTGAGTTCCAAGGAACATTTGCCTCTGGTCCCGGAGCCTGACATGGACAAACCAGAAACTGGTAAGGCGAGACTTGAACTGCAATGGAGTCAACTATCACCTGCATGGCAAAAGGCTTTTGAGGACCCCATCATTGAGGCGCTTGACATTTACTTCCGACATGATGCTCTGGCTCCGGTTATGCCCGAAGAGACGGTCCACGAATCGAGCAGGTTCGTGCTAGTCAACAAAGCAGACCCAAAAAACACTCACCCCACGGAGGCGGATCTGGAGCTGGCAAAGCTCAAAGCCAGGCTGGTCATTGCTGGTCATCGTGATCAACGTGCTGGTGACTATGCTACCGATGCTCCGACTGCCAGCCTTGTTGCGCGCAATTTTGTGTGCTTCCTGGCTGCACAGCTTCGTTGGCGCATGTATTTTGCTGACATTTCCGCGGCATTCCTTCAGGGAGATTATCTTCCAGAGGGCCGGAGAGTCTTCGTGCAGTCACCCAAGAACTACCCGTTGTTTGTGCGCCAGTTTTTGATGACCAAAGTTCCTCCTGGGGCTCGCACGGACATGTTCAGAATGAAGAAGGCTGGTTTTGGCCTCGCTGAGAGCCCAAGATTGTGGTATCAGAGGTTCAGCCGAGATGTTGCTGGCATTGGAGGCAAGGAGCTGCGCTTGGCGCCTGGGGTGTTTGCCTTTTATGATCCCGAAGGTCATTTGTGGGCCATGCTGGCGGTGCATGTGGATGATGTGCGGTTCATCGGCAGTGAAGAGGCTGAGGAGCAGCTCTGGTCGAAGTTGAAGAACCTGTTCACCTTTGGCGACTGGGTGCACCCTCAAGAGGACACGAAGTTCTGTGGACGGCGGGAGAGGCAGAATGCCGACTACTCGATCACCATTCAGATGAACGAGTATTCCAAGAAGGTCAAAGATCCTCCTCAACGATCGAATCCACAGAGTCGCCAACAGTTGATGCCAAATGAACGAGCATGGATTGGCGCAATCATCGGACAGTTGAGCTGGTTGGCACGACAACTTCGAGCAGACCTGCTATATGGATGCTCCAGGATCCAGCAGTTAGCCGGCGCGAATGACCCGGAGGCCTTGCTGGAGCTGAAGATCTTGGTTGACCGAGCACGTGAACCACATTTTCATGTGTTCAAACATCTTGGGTGCCATATCAACGATCTGGTTGTTCTGGCAGTCTCGGACGCTTCGTTCGGAGGGATGCCGAAGGGACGCTCTCAAGGTGGGATGGTGGTGCTGATGGGCCAACCCGAAGATCATGGACGGCGAAGCCAACGTGAATGTCCTGGCTTTTCACTCTGGCCTGTTGAAGAGGGTGGTCAGATCTTCGTTGGCTGCGGAGGTGTCTCAAGCGGCTACGGCAATGGAAGAAGCTGATTTCTTGAGGGCCCTGATGGCCGAAGCCTTGGAGAAGGGATTTTCGCTCAAGCATTGGCTCTCGTCAGTCTCGAAGTGGAGGCAGGTGGCGGTGATGGACTCCAAGACCGGGTATGACTTGTTGAATGGAACTTCGCTCGGAGAAGACAAGAGATTGGCGATTGATGTCGCGTCCATGCGACAAGCACTGCAGGAGGACGGCGGTGCTCGCCTGGTGCGATGGGTCCCCGGGGAAGAGATCCTCGCTGACGACCTGACCAAACTGGTCGGGAACAACAAGCTGGTGAAGGTCATGGAGAACGGCACCTGGGCTTTGAAGGACACTGACGAGGCCAAGAAGCTGAGAGCCGACGCGGCTGTGCGAAAGCGCACATATCGCCGACGTAGGGCGCTAGCTCCATAGGGGGCTAGTGTCTGTTCGATAGCCTGTCACGGCTCAGGGCGGCTGGAAATAGGTGAGGGCCGTCGTGCTTTTTCAGTGTAACGGCCAAGGGCAAAGCAAAACTTTACAATAAGACTTGATTCCAATCACTCCCTTGTCAACGTTTTGAGAACCTTCAAAAACCAACAGCCCTTTCCGTCACTTTTGCAGGCGAATACGGAGCTGCTGTGGTCAATCACAGTGAAGGTGCCATTTAACACTCCGAAGATACGGAGCAGCAATGTGCCCTGAGCCATGTTTGCAAACACAGACCTAGCAGATTGGAAACACCATGAAACACTTAGGAGGATGGCGCTTGAAAAGTATCCAGTTCAAGCATGGTGTGAGTTCAACAGTAGAAAATGCCGCCCACCTTCAGGGTTTTGGATGTTTTGGTCGTTTGCTGGAGCCAGGTATTCCGGGTACGCGTGATGGATGCCAACAAAGTCGCGACTGATGGGAACTTATGGCTTCCTGGGGAAGAGGCGAGGAACTGGTGGTCAATGGTGGTCACAGGACATAGTTGTGGTGTCATTATGCAGACTGAGTCAGGCCTGCAGGTTTGGAAGCTGTTTTGCAATAGTATATTATATTATATTATATTGCACTATTCCACAATGTGCCAGTCGTATTGACAGCAATTCTTCAGAAGTTGATTCTTGGCCGGCTTTGACGGCCAGGTTCGCACAATCCCACGTGCTCGGGCCCCAAGCCTTGACTTGGAAGTGTTTTGACCCCGATGTAAATCGCTTGACATTTTGACAAACGAGATTCTTCGAGTTCATGGCAACGTCCTTGATCACGAAAGGTAGCCCTTTAGGGGATACCTTGAGTTTGTCTTGCGAAGCAAGTGTTGGGACGTCCGGGTCTAATAATTGATCGCTCAATTCAGACCCCCCCCCCCTCCCCCCCTCTAAAATCAATTCTCTCCTGGAGAACGTCTTCGTGAGCCTCTCATGATTTCAGGATAGTTGAAACCCTCTTGAACATTCAGAAAGAGTATAAGAGTGAATATGAAATTCAAATCACGAAAGGTGTTCCCCGAGGGGATACGTTTTGTGAAGCACGTCAATTCTCTCCTGGGGAGCGTCTTCGTGAGCCTCTTATGGTTTCAGGATAGTTCAAATCCTATGATGTTCCGATTCAATGCTCACCGATGATCTGAGCCATGGGGCAAGTTTGTTTTCCTAAGAATCTTTTTGAACATTTCGAGAGCACATGTTTGAACATTTAAAGTGCATATGAACATATATTTACGAAAGGTCGCCTCCGAGGGGATAAATCACCATGTCGAACATTGCATTTTTGTTCCTGCCTCTCGCGTTCTCTTCTCTTCCCGCTGTCCTACCTTTCGTGTCTCCCTCCTCTCAAGTTTGTGGTGGTGGTACAATACAGCAAAAATTCATGAAGTTCTTGCTACTGCCGTCCAATCCTGTTCAATCCACCTTAATGCATCACTGCATCCTCATACAACATCATATAACTAGTAGTAAGGCACCTTGCTAACTAGTAGCTTCTTGTTGCTACTAGTAGTAAGGCACTTAGCTAGTAGCGTCCTTGCTACTAGTAGCGATGCACCTTGCTACTAGTAGCAACTCACCCAAGACTTAGTAGTCTGAGGTCCAAGACTTCAAGATTTGGTTCACAACGCCGGTGCTTGACTCGACGGGATGGGGCACCGTGAACCTAGCTCAGACGGGGTAGATTAGATGTCCTTGTCCTTTTGTCCTGCCGGTGCTTGGCGCCTCCGTTTGGATTCAAATTTCAAGGCACAGGTCCTCAGGTCGTCAGCCCGAAAAGAAAGGCAAACTATGGCAGTCGGCAGGAGTATTCGAAGAAATGCATGTTGGACGGCATCAGGTGCCTGCCTCGATGATGTCAGTGGCGATTCATTTCTCTTTCAACCAGACTCTGTTGGGGACTCAGCACATGATCCACCAATCCAGCCTCGTTTCAGATTGCTAGCTGTCCTGGTGTTGTCTTTGGGTTTTCCACCCGTGTTCTCCTCAGCTTGATGTTTTCTCTCATAAACCAGGAACACAGCAGAGTCGCAGCTCGTCCTCCTTCCCACACGGTTCCACAGAACCTCTTTGCATTGCATCTCACACTCACGAGGCCGCGTGGCGAAGAGGGCAGCACGCCCTTGCGAGTCATTGAAATCATGGCGCCGGAAGGGTGCGCACCTCAATCATTAGCAAGGAAACCTACTGGCGATGGCCTCCAACCTCCTTGCATTAGCAGACTTGCCTAAGGCAATGCCTTAGAAGCCTTAGCATGCGAGCGTCGGCCATGAGCACAATGGCATGGTCTTGACACCAGGATCGAGCTGAAAGTCCGTCGACCCAAAGATGTGCAAAGACTGAAGAGAGATGACTATGTGGCCAGGCCCTAAGAAACCTGAAATGGCCAGGTCAATGACTTCCCTTCAGAAGAAGCGTGCAGACTTGTCAGTTGATTTCATGTTTTCCTGCACTCTTAGTGGATAATGCCCCGTTGTTTGCAAGCTAGAGAAGCCTGCCTGAACACTTCTTCATTTGTATTTCTGTCGAGTCAAGCTGGCTTTCTTTGGCATAAATTTAAGACGTCGGAGCAGAGCCTTCAACGTGATCGTACCGCCCAGCCCGTGACGGAATGGAACTGGACAGACATTTTGCCTCGCCAGCTTTGGTGGGAGCCTCGAAGCAGCTTGTAGATAGTGAAGTGAATCATGATCCAAGTTCACTGTGAAGCACCATTTACATGTTTTCCAAGCGCATATCTTCCAATGTCCTCCAAAGAACTGCTCAGGTTTGGCCTTGATATGACCAAGAATGTGACGGGCACCTTCCACTACTCTTTCCCGGCCTTGACGCCATCGCCATCCCTGCGAGTTTGAGTGTGGTGAAGTTCCAGCAGAACAAGCTGCTGGCAAGTTACCAACCGGTTGCGCACTAGTCCTTTGAGGTGACTTCATCGAGACCACTTGTAAACTGCCAGGGAAGAGCAAGGCATGCCCTACGACAACCTTTGGCAGGCCGAAGGGGGCCTGATCCGCAACTTCTGTAGATGTGTGGGACTATCCATTTCCCGAAGAGAACGCATTTAATGGAATGGATACCAGCATGGAAGCTGTGACTGTGGCTTCCATGCAGCTTTCGTTTCACTGACAACTTTTGAATAGATTGAAAAGGGATGAAGCAACTTAAAGGCATATGGAGGACCAAGTTGGACCTGAAGCTCACCTGCTTGGACCGAGTGATCGCAACGGCTCAGGTGAAACTTTGTTCAGATTCACCCATGTGCTCGTGGAAGACTCAGAAGTGTGTTTTTTGCTTGCGGATTTGCTTCCTTCAGTGCAGTTGGAGGAATGAGTCTGTACTATGATAAATGGAAGAGGTGTATGAGTGCCTGCTTGAGAATATGGTTTGAGGAGCCAACTGCTGTCCATTCCCATCCCTGGCTTCTTCTTTGGCGAGGACATCCATCACGACGTCCCCATATCTCCAGTCAACTGCACTGACGGATCAATGTGGAGTAAGTATTTATTATCTGAAATCCTATGTTTAGGTTTAGGCTGTACTGACAATAATGGAAACAATGGCAAAGGTCAATGCTTAGATATGTATGTATGTATATATATATATATATAGAGAGAGAGCGAGAGGGTCCGTGACCAAACCCTTGGTGGCTGTCATTGCTGGCAGAACAGGGGGTTGCGGTCAGTATGATGTATGTTGGGCGAGAAACACCCAGGAGGTGCAAGGAACAAAGGAGTCACATTTGACGCGGTTCTTCCAAGCTCCCGTGAAGTGGATTTTTACATTCCAGGAACCTGCAGAAGATCTTTCGGAGGAAGCACAGGAAATGTTGACTGGTCTGGCACTTGAATTGACGATATTTTTGCAACTTGTGCTTGCTTGAGAAGGTTGGGCACTTCCAATCTTTTGCAGTGCTCAGCTTCCTTCGAATTAAGCACCTCTCATGTACTCCAGTCAGCTCGGGAGTTTGTTGAACCATTTGCCTGAACACTTTGACGATTGAGGTTTGTTTTGGTCTCTGATATTGTGAGATTTTCAGCAATCTGGAGAGCCGTAGATTTTCGCCGGGGGAAGCTTTTGAGTGCAACAATCGATGGACAATGCACGGACAACTGACTGCCTATCTGCCGGTCTGCAAGGTGGCTGGGCAATTCGTGCCAGCCCAAGTTTTTCTTTTGTGGTTGGGAAGCCAGTTTAATAAAGGGGATCAGAACGCCGGCCCTTTCAAAGGTGGGTTTTCGCGTTGCCACTTTTGGCCTTTTTGGGCAAGCCTCAATCTTCGAATGTACACTCTGCAAGAGTTCTCTTTGCCAATCTGTCTTAACTTTGCAAAAGGCAGACACGCTACTAGGGGCTCCTGGCCCATGTGGATCTAGCATCATCTAGCTAACTGACTGAAGAGAATCTGCTTCTCAAGGTGAAGATTTCCGGAGTGTGGGGTGATTTGAGAACTTCGGGTGCTGTTTTCATGCAGTTGACATGTTGCTGTGCGGTGTCTTCTTGATTCTCACGGATCCTCACGGCTAGCTCAGGCTCGACTCTGCCGTTCTGGCTGTTGCACTGCCTATGTTGGGTCGTCACCTTGAGCGCAAGGTGTACGACAAGTGAAGATGGAGAGGGTCAGAAAGCAACATGCAGCAACTCTTTCAGCATTTGAGCTTGATCATTGCAGCTTGTCTTTTGTTTTTGGGGTCACCCCTGGACAACCAATATGTGAGTGCAGCTAGTCTCAATCTTTTTCTTGTTTGGACATTGCATGACGCCTTGTGGATTTCTGTCATGTTGGCTCCAGCACCTATTCAACACCAGTAACAGGCTTTTTACCACGCAACTTTGGTTTAGGTCAAACACGCTTTTCCATCCAAAACCCTCACCAACGCGATCTGTACGATTTGGCTTCCCACATCTTCCCACCCACCAAGCGGTGCTTGTGTTTAAAACACATCGCAGCCAGAGCAGCCGTAGTCATGCTCTCCGAGCATCACTTGGCCGCTTTGTCGGCTTCTGTTGCCCTCGGAGTGTCCCTCGCTTGTCACTTCCTGTCACGACCCCGTCGACCTCCGCCGGTGCGCATTGCGAAGAGTGTCAATGTGGAGGGTGTCGGTGAGGTTGCGGTGAAACAGCAGGCAGGAGCTTAGGGGTTGCAGTTGTGATTGTGTTCTATCAACTTATTTACTACACTTGCAAGTTGCATTCCTGATTGGTGTAGCGAAAGATGAAAACTATCATGAGACACCTGACTACCAGGCTTAACAGGCTTTGACATGCTCGTAGGTCCAAGATTCTGTTTTATTCTCGAGGTGTTTTGACATGTTGCTGTCTTGATGACCACCTGCGTCTTCATCTTCGCCAGGCCAGCAACGGAAAGATCCACGTGACCTTGGACTGGAACTCCTTGCTGGGCATTCCCAATGCCTTGCCCTTTTGCTCTGCGGTCGTCACTATGAATGGGACCATTTATGTTTCCGGAGCGGTGGGTGCACTGAAGGGACCGGATGGAAAGCCAATGATAGTGCCAGGCCACGATCTGGGTTTAGGGAGTACACGTGCTGACAGATCAAGCACATTGGGGACAGTTTGGGATTGGATGCAGAGTCTTGCAGGGTCAGATTTGTTTGCCGCTTGAAGAGCATGACAACGGCGATGGGCGATGGTGATCAGATCTCATATGATGCATTTCACATCACTTTAATTCTTCATCCTCTTGTTCCTAGTAGTACGGCCAGGAGCCCCTAGTAGCGTCTTTGCTTCTAGTAGCGATGCCCTTTGTTCCTAGTAGCGTCCTTGCTCCTACATCTTGTCGGCGATGGGAGGTGGACCCGAGAAGGAGGCTCTTCAGACGCTCCGAATCATCGAAGCTTCCCTTCGTGCATGCGGGGCTTGCTTGGACCATGTCACGATGGTCCACGTGTCTCGGCGGGGTGTGGGCCGATGCCGGAGTCAGGCTCGCTCGCTCTCTCTCTCTCTCTCTGGGGGAAAATCTCGGAGTGACGGGACAGGTTTCCATGAAGCATGATGCTTTAGATGCTTTCGAGCCATTTTGCATCTGAGCATTTCACTCATAGGACATCAAACATTGTATCATTCTACTAGCTTGTTTCCTCTTTCAAGGAGTTTCTTGAAGGCAGTGAAAGGGATTGACAGAGTTCTGACCCCAGCTGGGAGTGACTCGTCAAGATGCTTCCATTCTTGCAAAGGCAGCATTGTAGACGCGTCCGATGTGTCCCTTGTCTTGCAACCAAGCTCAGGCATTCTTGGTGGACTACACTCAGGAGCGGTTTCAGGCTATGAACAAAGGACTGAGGGTTCTCTAAACGCTGACAGTATTTGTGTTGATTCTCAGGTAGTGATGCAAGTCTGGTTCCATTGCGTAGACTTTCCTTTGTTGTTCCATGGTCATTTTCCTGAACAGCATTGCACCGTCCTTGTCCGTGGGCCACGCACCCAGTTAGAGCAAGATGCGAAACACCAAGCCTGTACACGACAGCGAAAAAGAGCGGACCAAAATCGGTCAAATTTATTTGTGTAAGGGAAGAGAGGTGCTGTCCAGTTTGAAGGATTGCTCAAGTTTCAGTCTATGTTCATTTATTTTCCATCACTTGATCTCTCACAACCAGCTTCTTGCTACACAATTGCCTGTTCTCATTGGGAGTGGTCGAGAACATTCAAGAACAGTGCTTGTCATTACCTTCGCTACCAGAAGATCCAAATTATACATGTGGCTTTGACGTTTTGTTTAGTCAAAGTGCTCGTGTTGCACTGCGTTGAGTCGTGGCCATCGGTCTCAGTGCTGGATTGATGCCATGTGCAGTGACTCGGACATCACACGGTTCAACCGTGGTTTCCATCACGGTTCGGAAACAAACCATTCGCACTCCGCACTCTTATCGTGTGCACACCGCACAGAACGAGAAGACGGACGCCTTTCGCAACAAGTCAAACCGTTTTTTCCCCACATGCTGCAGACAACTTTTCAACCTTTTGACGGATTTTTGATCTTTCTCGGAACGGCCGCCTACGCGCTGGAGACACTGATCGACCTTTCGACTTTTCAGAAAGGACCTGCAGGTTGGTCTTTGTGTTTTTGTTTGTTTCCTGGGGCGTTGTTTGGTATGTGCTTTGCTCCAGGTAGTGCGACTTGTAACGCACTAGCAAGTTTGAGATCGGCATACCTGATTCTGTTCAGCAGTTCTCAGCAACAGCGGAAATACCAGCAGACTAGACACCACAAAGAAACAGCGGACATGCTTTGCCTTGGGCCAGGCACGCCTTGGCTCACTTTCAGTTTTGAACTCTTGATGCTTTAAGCCTGAAGATGCTGTCCATTTTGTGGGGCATGAAGTGGCAGGGCTCCAAGCCCACCCCACAAACCACATACAGTACCATGCACACTTAGTCGTTGGGTTTGCAGTTAACTCTGTTCCACGAAGAAAAGAGTGAGGGAACGGAATGGCGCATGATCAGCTCAATTAGAATGTTCAAATTGTTGATGCGTGACTGCAGCTGCACGCCAGTGGAAAGTGGCTGAGGGAAACCTGTTTGTCGGAAGTATCGTGCGAAAAACCATGGAATCAGACCGAGAGTGGAACAGCGTGGTCAACAGTTGCATTGCAGGTGCAAGTCTGTGCGTCCACAGACTCATCCATCCATTTCTCTAGCTTCGTTGGCTAGCGTCGAGAATTGGGCCGCTAGCCCCCTGCAAAACAGTTCCGTAACTCCTAGGAGCGGAGTGTGACACACACACACACACACATGACAGCATTCCCAGACCAGCGAAGGGACACGCAAAAACGCAAAAATCCGAAACTACAAATTCGACTTTGACTTGTCGCGAAGCGTTTTGCGACTTGTCGATTTTAAACTTTTCGGCTTTCACTTTTCGCTTCGAACAATCAACGCACTTTTTCTGTGAGCATGTCCAGCTGGGTGAGTCCACGGTCTGTACACATCTCCACATACCGGCCTTTGGCGACAAGTTTGCGCATCCAGAGATGCGCACTGCCCTGGCAAGGATATCTCCAAGTCTGGGGATCCCGGCCTTTGCCTGCCCGCATCTGTACTGGTACCACTCATGTTGGTCTCAATGGTGCCGTGGAAATGGATGCCATAGCACAGCTCTGAAAGGGAGTGCCGATGCAGCATCATCCATTCAATCGCAGCGTGTGTTCAAAGAAAACATGCCTGCCTGCTCATTCAGTCAGAGGCTGAAAAGACATGGAGCTGTAGCATTTCATACATACCAACATCATTCAACATCCTCGTGCTCTCCGACGAAGACTGAGCCGATTGCACGCCCAGGTTGTGGCAATCAATGCCGTGGACAGCTGACGTTGTGAGAGTCGGTATTCGTGTGGGAAGAGTCTTCATCCACTACTTGGAGAAGCGTGGTGTTCATATCCCTAGCTGCCCATAGACCGAAGACCTGTTCTTTCACCCGTAGGTTTCCAGAAAATTTTGGTTGGTGGTACCAGTTGATAGTACATTTCTTTTTCCAGTTGTTCCCTTGGATAGTTCGACGGCCAAAAAGGCTAAACTCAAAGTGTGGCTCGCGCTTTACATGCGCGCTTTGTTGTCAGGGGGAGGATGTGTTGGAAGATGTTGAAAGACCTATTTGCTCATGAGACGATTCTGCCCCTGGTGTTTGTGCCAATGCATGAGACGGAAGGGTCCTTCAAGTCGGCCAAGCTGACTGAAAATGTCGTCAAGGCATCACAAACCCCCGTCAGCTAACGCACTCATGCTCCTATTCTGGGATTCAGAGATGAGAAGCGCAGGGAAGAGTAGGAGCATGATCTGAGCCTCAAGGTGGCGCAGACACGAATGCTAGAGTGTAGAGACTTCTTGAAAAAGTTGCTGGCACAGCATTTGGTGAATCGATTGCTGTGACCCTAGCTTTTCGTGTACCACCAAAGTCTGTGTTGTTCTTCAGCAATTATATATATATATATACACTTTGAATGCAGCAGCAGGGTTGAGAGATTCGGCTTTGGTGAGCACCTAGTGCATCCTTCTCTATGCACTTGGTGAGTCAACATTGATATTTAGGGATACATTATATAATTAGTCAACTTCGATCACTATACTTCCTTTGGCCAGTGGTGTGACGATGAGAAAGGCTCCAGAGACCTACATAACAGAGATGAGATGGTTGCAACCGCCTGCTAGTGGTTGCCTTTAGGAATCAGCCGTTCTGAAACTAGTGGGGGAAGGATTTGAGCCGGCTTGTGAGGATTGCTGGCTGCCTGGGTTGAAGATGTCCAAAGCTCTGCAAGTAGACTGAAGCAGAATGAATATTGGCAGAACCTTCATGAATTCTACGCTGCTGAGTCAGAGATACAAACATGGACAAACACTCTTTACCACACCTCACTGCCATGTACATGGTTTGTTGTTGTCGATGATGTTGATGAGAGTTGCCTCCGAGCTCATCCCCACACAGTCTCCAAGAAGCTCAACCGACTGGGTTTTCTTGAGGGAGTTTATTGACTCTAGTTTGGCGCACAGATTCATGCAGTTGTATGTCATCTCCATACTGATCCCAGTAACAGCCAGAGAATTACCATCAATTAACTCTGATTTCTATTACTTGCTAGCACCGCCAATGAAAGTACTACACATGCCAATCGCCATGCTGAGCCGCTGCAGAGGCTGGCGATAATGTGGGCATTGTGGCCGTACGCATAACAGAAGACAGAATTCTAGCCCGCAACTTTCTCCAAGCGCATACAGAAGCTTCGTTTGTCTAGCAGTAGGCGTTCCAAATCTTGCAAGTGGTTTGGTATGTTTATGTATGCGTTTATGTGGAACTTGTAAAGATGTCCAATACACTAGCTCATGCAGGCCCAAAAGGCGAGGCGAGATCGGGGCGGAGGGTTCAATAACCCACTCGTGCATGGTAGCGCGGCGGGGCACGGTATTGTCTAAAGGTAAGGCTGCCGTGTCCAACAGGATCCACTTAGAAGGGCCGCAGGTGGTGAGTTGGAGCATTGCTTCAGTTGTTGTGGGTCTTGCAGTTGTGACCCATTTTGTCGGTGTTGATCAGTTGATCAGGGCAGTGTTGGACATTGGCTTGTGCATTGTGGGCTTGTTGGAACAGCATTGGTTGTTGAGCTTGTACATTGGTTGTCGCTTGGTTGAGCATTTCGTCGGTCGATTGCTTGGGAGACTGGGCGTTGGGTTGTTCTTTTTGTTGCTGTTGACTCCGACATGGCCCAACAACAAGATGCAGCTGGGATGAATGTCCAACAATTGATGCAAGCAATTCAGTCGCTGCAGCAGGGACAAACTCGATTGCAAGAACAGTTGCAGAGGAGTTTGACAGAGAGCCAACAGATGAGGGATGCCAACGTTGTGCTTACTCAGAGGCTTCAACAGGCGGAGACAGAGGTTCGACAGGTCGCTGCTGTGAATGAGGCCTTGAGGCAAGGGAGGGCCGAGAGCATGGAGGTCTTGAAGTTGATCCCCAAAGCCCTCGAATCGATCGGGGGACACAGAGATAGAAAGAACTTGTTTGATAGCAAAGGCTTGGGAAAGCCGCAGACGCTGGGCGATGAGCAAGCAGAGCTTCGTTTCAGGCTGTGGAGTATCAAACTTGAAGATTATGTAGCAGGAGTTTTTGGGGAAAAGTTCAGGGAAGCTATGCAGTGGGCTTCAGAATCAGAGGTAGAGGTAAGCAGTGCATTGTTGGCCAATACCTACGGTGAGCATGCAGATCCAAATGATGTCATTGAAGACATTGATGACATGAACACGAAGTTGTACAGTGCATTGAGGTCGACAACTGAGGGGACGCCTTTTGATGTTGTTGACAACACGTCGAGCAATAGTGGGCTTGAGGCTTGGAGATTGCTGCATAGAAAATATGATCCGGCGACAGGTGGGAGGAAACGCGTGATGCTGAATGCTCTCACTACGCCGGACCGAGCAACCTATGAGACCTTGGCTGGAGCACTGGAAAGGTGGCGGGCTTTGAGGGCCCGATACAATCGGAAGAAGGATCAGTTCGGGAAGCGTGAAGAACTTCCTGAGAGTTTAGCAATGAATGCCTTGGAGAAGCTTGTTCCGAAAGATCTGGAGCAACATTTACAGTTGAACTACACTCGCTTCAAGACATACGACCAGATGGAGGAGGAAGTTCGTGTGTTTGTGGAAGCGAAGACTGGTGCCAAGATGACCATCAGCAACAATTTCAGTCAATCGTCGAGCGAAGCAGTTCCTATGGATGTTGGAGCATTGATTGATGCCGTGAGGGGCATCAAGGACATCGGGGCTCTGATTAAGAGTTCCAAGGGTAACAAAGGCAAGGCTGGTGGGAAGGGCACTGGAGATGGGAAGCGGGCTTGCTACTTGTGTGGCAAAACCAACCATCTGGCAAAAGATTGTTGGAGCAAGTCCTCAAAAGGAAAGGGCAAAGGAAAGGACAGTTCGTTCAAGGGCAAAGGCAAGACTTCATCCTCGAGGAGTTCATCACAGGCCTCACGTTTCCAAGGTCGGTGCAACAACTGTGGCAAAGAGGGCCACAAGGCCAAAGATTGTTGGAGCAAGGGAAGTGGAAAAGGCAAAGATGCAAAAGGGAACTCTCGAGGTGTGAACGCCTTGAATCAGGAGCCGGAGAAGGAAGCAGAAGCTGGTGGCCTAGATTTGTGTCACTTGAGTTCGGACTTGTGTGATGGTTGGCTTCGCTTGAACTATGATACAGGAGCAGCAATTACAGCATTGCCCAAAGTTTACAAGTCGGAGAGCGTGGACTCGGGTCAGAGTGACCGGCCTTTCAAGACCGCATCGGGGGAAAGGTTGGATGATTTGGGCAAAGCAACTATCACAGGTGTTGATGAGAGTGGTCACAAAAGAAGAGTCACTGGGCATGTCACTGATGTCCATAAAGTGTTGTTGAGTGCGAGTTCTGTTCACAAGAAGGGCTTTGACACGTGGCTTGGCTCTGGCGGTGGCAGATTGATTGATCACTCAAGTCGGTTGTACAAAGAGTTGTGCAAAACCTACAGTCGGTTCGGTGGTGTTGGTGAGATCCCCTTGTATGAGGAGCGTGGCGTGTACAACTTGTATTTGCGAGTCGGTGAGAGCGGCTCGCAGTCGAAGGTTGAGTCAGACAGTCGTTCACTTGGATCAGTTGAGAAGCCAAAGAAGAAAGTGTCATGGGCGGACTTGCAAGAGGAGGAGGAAACGGAGCTCCAAGAACCTGCATTAGCTCCGTTGGAGGAAGGTGAGTTGGTGGCTGTCGAGGAGCCAGTTGAGGCTCGTAGGGCCATTCCGGCCTTTGATCCAGGACAGCCTACCCAGAAAGACATTGATGAGCATGAAGCAAGTGGTCACGCGGTTTACAGGGCTTGGTGCCCGCAGTGCATTGAAGGTTGGGGATTGGGACAACGCCACATGAGGCAAGACCATGAGGAAGAGACAGTTTCAGTAGTCAGCCATGATTTCTTTTACATGTCCCCGGAGGAGGATGACAATAGACCGTTTCTTGCAATGATCGACAGGAAGACCAAGATGGTGTTTGCAACAGCTCTTGACAACAAGAAGGCACGGAATGAGGCTAGCTTGCAACAGATGAGGAAATTTTATGAGTTGTTGGGATACAAGAAGTTCATCTCAAAGAGTGATGGTGAGCCAGCAATGCGTGCGTTGAAGCGTGAAGCAGCTGCAGGTTGTGGGGATATCACAATCATTCCCCAAGAGTCTCCTCCAGGAGATCACAAGGCAAATGGTGAAGTTGAGAGTTGCATCAATGATTTGAAGCGTCGCATGCGGGCCAACAAGAGTGGCCTTGAGAAGCGTTTAGGTCAGAGCCTCCCAGAAGACCATGTGGTTTGGTCTTGGTTGCCCCGGTATTGCAGTGATATGATCAACAGATACAAGGTTGGTACAGATGGTCAAACCCCGGAGGAACGTCGGACGGGGAAACAGTGGAAGAAGCCAGTTCCTTTGTTTGGTGAACGCATCATGTACAAAGCGGCTGGATCCAGTGGCAAACGGAGCGATGCAGCAGCAAGGATGCAGTCTGGACATTTTGTTGGATTGCACAATCGGTTTGGATCAGTGTTGGTGCTCACAAAACAAGGTGTTCGGGTCGGCAGTTCGTTTCATCGTTTGTCGGAAGCTGAACGTTGGAGCATTGACGGTTGGAGTGAGTTGATGGGGACCCCGTGGAAGATCCACGCAATAGATGACAGGAAGTTGGAGTCGAGCCCAATGACGCCTGCTCCGATGACACCTGCGTTGATGATGCCGGCAACCCCAGTGCCGGTAAGCTTGCGTGAGACGGCAGTGCAAGTTGATGCAGCTGAAGACCAGGAGCATGTGTCGCCAAGGAGTACAGCGAAGGCCAAACCAGTCAAGCGTGCCTTCATTGAGAAGTTCGGAGCTACTCCTGGTTGTGACGGCTGCTACAGTGTCAAGAAGGGCAAGATGATTCAGCAGATACAGCACAGTGCTGAGTGTCGTGCCAGAATTTACAAAAGAATTCAGGAAGAGCAAGATGAAAAACAGATTGCAGAAGACAAAAGGGCCAGAATTGACGAGCCATCCAGTCCTTCGAAACGAAAGGCTGAGGTGGATGTCGAAGTGCTTGAAGGACAGAGTTCATCATCGGCCTCGAGGCCCTCGAGGCCTCCTGCTGCCTTGACCAGGCCGGATTCCCCAAAGAGGCCGGCAGAAGTTGACATTGAGACATTAGTTGAGCAGACCATGGCAGAAGAAGCAACCACATTGCCTACAGAGACACCCACAGATGCAGTCGCTAGTTTTGATTTGAATAGTTTGGAATTTGACATTGACCATAGCTACAAAGCAGTGCAGAAACGAATTTTGGAAGAAATGATTGAACAACAGTTTGTGAAAGAAGGGGTTGATTACAATTTTTCGGAAGTGCAAAAGATCGCAACATTGTCAGCATCAATTTGTTCAGTTGATGTGATGGAGATTTTCTCTCCCAGTCGGTTCACTTCACTTGCAGCTTGCTACGGTTTGCAAAGAGGGGTGGCAGTTGATTTGAATGAGATGAAACCAGATGGGAGTGACATGTGGGATCTTGATCGGAAGCGTGACAGGCTCGAGTTGGAGGCCATCATTGAGAACGAAGAACCTTGGTTGGTGACAGGCAGTCCTCCTTGTGGGCCATTTTCATCGCTTCGCAGTTTGTCAGACTACAAAAGGGATCCTACAGTTGTAGCAGAAGAGATTCGTGTTGGAAAAGAAAGAGTGAAGACATCAGTCCAAATGTACAAGAAGCAGTATGACGCTGGTCGGTATTTCCTTCATGAACACCCTGAGCTTTCAAAAGCTTGGGACATGCCAGAAGTGAAAGAGTTGGAAAGCCTGCCAGGGGTTTATAGAGTTCGCTCGACAATGTGTTGTTGGAAAATGGTTTTGAAAGGTCGTGAACAAGAAGGATACGTGCGAAAGCCTACAGTTTGGCTTACAAATTCAAAGAAGCTTGCTGAAGTTTTGAATCAAATTTGTGGAGAGACCACTCCGTGTTTACATAGGCATGTGAGGCTCATTGGAGGTGTTGCTAAACAGGCACAGGTCTACCCAGATCGACTTGTGCGTGCAGTGTTGCAAGGGCTACGTGAACAGTTGTTGTCGGACAGGTCATTGTCTTCTTTTGAGTCGTTGCATGCGGGTCCATCGCCGCATGAAGAGCTTTGGAATGAAGAGGAGTTTGCTCAGCAGGAAGAAGAGTTCATTGATGCAGCTGCTGGTGTTCTCCTTGATCCGCAGATGGTGCAGAAGGCTCGAGCAGAGGAGCTGAAATGGGTCAAGGACGAGAAGATTTATGATCGCGTTCCCTTGTCGCAATGCTTGGCAGTGACAGGACGTGAGCCAATTTCAACAAAATGGGTTGACATCAACAAGGGCGATGACCAGAGGCCCTTGTATCGTTCAAGGTGGGTGGCAAGAGAGATTAAGAAGAAGAAGGCACCTGGTGAACAGCTTTCGGAAGTTGAGTTGTTTGCAGCCACTCCGCCAGTTGAAATTTTTTATTTGATTTGTTCAATGCTGATGACACAGCACAAAGGTCGTGCAAGAGATCTGAGGCTTGGTTCTTGGGATGTGAGTCGGGCGCATTTCATGGGAACAGTTGAGCGTGATTTGTTCATTAGTTTGCCGCCTGAAGATTTGCATCAAGACACAGATACAGAACCAATGTGTGGCAAGTTGAATCGAAGCATGTATGGCGCCCAAGATGCTTCACGGATCTTTCAGAAAGATTGGAATCAAGTGTTGGCAAATCATGATTTTGAGATTGGAAAACTATGTCCAGCTACATTCAAACACAAGACACGAAACATGTGGGGCATGGTGCACGGTGATGATTTTTTGGTTCTTGCCAATGATGTTGATTTACAATTCATGGACAGTGTGTTGCGTTCAAAGTACAAGGTTCGTTGGGAAGCAACATTAGGGTTGAACACAACAGATGACAAGCAGATGTTTTTCTTGAATCGGTTGGTGCAGCTGACGAAAAGAGAGAACGGTGAGTTTCAGTTAGAAGTCGAGGCAGATGCCAGGCACTCTGAGTTGGTTGTGAAGCAGCTCAACCTACATGGATCGAAGGGATCTGATGTCCCGGAAGTGAAAGTCAATGAGGTTGACTTTGAGCATCTGAAGAAACAGTCATTGAATGCTGAGGACACAAAGTTGTTTAGGTCGTTGACCATGAGAACGGCCTATCTCTCGCAGGACAGGCCAGACTTGGCCAATACAGCAAAGAATTTGGCCCGTGGGATGTCGCAACCAAAGGTGTTTCATTTTGAGAAATTGAAGAAGCTTGGAAGATATCTGGTGAAACATCCCTACGGGAAACGAATTTTCAGAATGCAATACATGAAACAATACCAGTTGATTGGATTCACAGACAGTGATTGGGCGTGTGATTTGGAAACAAGACGTTCTACCACAGGCGTTGCAGTGATGGCAGGGCAACATCTTTTGTTGACCAAGAGCAATTTGCAGAGCGTTGTTTCCTTGAGTTCGGCAGAGGCTGAATATTATGGGATTTGCAAAGGTGCGATTTCCTGTTTGTTTTTGAAACACTTGTTGGAGGAATGGAGCATTCCATGTGGATTGACAATGAAGTGCGATTCAACGGCAGCTCGTGCAATAGCATGCCGTGTGGGTGTTGGTAAAACAAAGCATGTGCAGGCAAGATTTTTGTGGTTGCAGCAGCATACAAGAGATGGGGTGCTGACCATAGAGAAAGTGGACGGAACGAAGAACAATGCAGATTTGATGACAAAGATTTTGAGTCGGCAGATGATTGACAAGCATTTGAAACGAATGAATTTTGTGAGATTTGAATGTCGAAATGCAAAGCAGAAAGCGTTGTTGGTTACAGGTTGAGAGAATTCCCTGGCCAGACTCCGCTACTGCTCTTCACGTCCCTGACGTTCAGAGTCGGGGGATGTGGAACTTGTAAAGATGTCCAATACACTAGCTCATGCAGGCCCAAAAGGCGAGGCGAGATCGGGGCGGAGGGTTCAATAACCCACTCGTGCAGTTTAATTCCTACAAGCCGCTCACAGCACTTTACGAAGTCAAGGCAGCCAAAGCAAGCATGTGTAGAAGGACTTTTCAATCAAGAGGTTGGCATAGTATATACTTCCGTTTCTTCTTCTTATTATTCTTCTGCTTCTTCCTCTGCTCTGAAGGATGCTTGTTTGGCGGTACATGATACGTTCCGCTGATTGGCCTATTCTCTTTTTGCTCTAGCTGTTGGAGGAACGTTCTGCTAGCAGACTCAGACACTTACACTGCAGTACAGCACAACGGGAGACTTTTGAGAGGAATCCACTCAACATACCCAACTTGCTCTCGGACCCTCAGCGAATCCTTTTGCACGGCCACCCAGACAAGCTGGCAGGGCATGTTGGAAGGTTTGGCAAGCTGTTGAGGCTTGGATTCGCTATTCACAGCCGGACACATTCCGAGTGTAATTGAAGCTTCATGCCGTAGCATCAGCATGGACAGCACCTTGTAATGATTCTGACATATGTTATGAAGATAATTGACCCCGCCAACGTGATGTAACGCTTGCCAAGAGAAAACCCTGCACGAAAGGCTGGGAGCAGTGAGACACTTGGCTGTGAAGGCAACCCTGAGCTGAGACTTGATCGTTGCTTTTGCACACGACTGTTCTTTAACATCATGTAGTTGGACCGTGGCTCGTGGATGGTATTTCAGCTTGCGCAATTCTTTTTTTGACCTTAGGTGTTCTGTAGGCTGACGCAGACCGTTTAACTTCTAGGGAAGGCTCTTGAAATGCATCGGTCAGCTCCCGGCTCCCCGACATACAGCTAGCTACTGTCATCAGCAGGTGTTCCTCCATATATGGCAAGATACATGACCACAGGACTAGGATGCTTACTTGGTTCTTGGAAATCAAAGGTTTATCTACATACTGAGCATACTGTGTGTCTCTCTCTCTCTCTATGATTTGTATATCATATGAGAACCAATGCGACAGCGTCATGTTGGTCGACTAGACTAGTCAGTTTCTGACGCTCAACATTTGGTTGCCAGGCCCTTCCGAGTTTCGATCCTGACAATGGCCAGGCACAAGAGAAGTGATATCATAGAAAGACCAGCCAACACCTAGGCCTATTGTACTTTCATGCTTTCCGGATTAACATTGAATGGGTCCCTGTCAGGGAGTTCGCCACTTTAAAGATCTTTTTTGCGCCCTTCATACTACGAACCCATGCAAGATCTTGACCTACAAGCGGTTTGTGCCCGTGGAGAGAACCTGCTGCTGAATCAAACATTTAGGCCTGCAAGTTTGAATCCAAGGATCTTATTTTTGTCACAGGAGGACTCAAAGCCCCAAGGCTAAAGCCTTGGCTCGTGAACCCTGTTAGCGGGATTATCCAGGATTTGATTAAACAAAAAACCTTTTTGGCTGATGCGCAGATAGTCACAGGATGCCGTTGTGCAGCCGTTGGTTCAACTGCCCCGTTCCTAGATTCCATTTGGTGGAAATGTTTCGGGTGAAGATCCCATGGCGATCGACCAGATCTGCATTTTCAGCACGGAGCTTTAGCCATCGACGTGCAGGACTTGTTCAGAGCAGAGGGATCAGCTGAAACATGTCAAGCCTTCCAAAGGCATGGGCAGATTAAGTGTTCCTCACCGCACGTGTTCCAGCGTTCACATTATCATATTGCGATCGTGTTGTTTTTCTTCTTAACATTTTTCTGAGCTTGTTCAAACCAGTGGTTGAACTGTAGCCCGGCCCCCTTGAGAAGGCAACTGGCCAGCCAAACAACTGCTAATAAAGCTTCATGGCTGTTGTCCAAGGCCAGGTGGGGGGTTTTCTCTTGGATACTCGTTGGAAGTTGGTGCCTTGAGCCCGCTGGTGAGCAACATCAATATGGCTTGAGGGTGTCCAGTGTCCAGTCTCCAACTTGGTAAACCAAGTTTGTTTTATATAAGTGCTGTTAAGAGGCCAATTTCAGAATGGCTGTGTATGGTCACAACTGACATCTGATGCGGCTGGGCCACCCACACTTCGTTGCACTTGTTAGGAGTCCAACACCGGCCTATCCGAGCCGAGTCCGAGTGGAAACGTCTCTTTCCCATCGGCTTTGTTCTGTGTCCTGCGCTGCTTGACTGATCCCTCCTGTCGCGCTGCAAATTCCCAAATCTGCAAATCAATCCCTGGCTTCAAAGACTAGTCACTAGTAGCGTCCTTGCTACTAGTAGCGATGCACCTTGTTACTAGTAGCTTCTTGTTACTAGTAGTAAGGTGCCTTGTTACTAGTAGCGATGCACTTGTTACTCTCCTCAAAGTGCTTTTATTCTTCACGAAGAGACATTTATTTGTGCATGCTGGTGGGAGAGAAGCTGGGACATCCCCAAGACAAGGATCCATAAATTCTTCGATCGAACCTGCAGCTCCAATATTGTGCCATGTTGAGTCTCAGGCACTCAACCCTTCGCACTTCACTTTCCAGTTGAATTGTGAATGGCACAAAGATTTCAATTCTTGCCCCAAATCAACAAAGTACACCACGCACTTGTTTGCATTGGAAAACCTTGCGGAAGCTTTCAAAAAACCTACAACACGCGATGGACAGGAGTTGGGATACAACATTTCGTAGAGCCAGAAGCCGAGTTTGCGGGGAAAGATGTTTGATTCGATTCAATGTATAATTAAATCGTTTGAAGACGAGGTATTTATTTCATGTTCAGGTTCGGTGTTTCTTTTGGCTATGTAAGCTTGCAGTTGCAGCCTTTTGCGAATATTCTTCGCCTTGAAGAAAGAGATTCATTTCGTGCTGAGCCAGTTCTTTTGACCAACACACCGTTTGTTGAACACCGTTTCGACCGTTTCTTAAATTTTCTAGACATCGGAGCGCAAGGCGATGCAACATCATAGAAGTTGGTCGGGAGTAGGACGTAGGAAAGGATAAGAGGCCACACATAGTGTGACATGAAAGACCATCCAAGGCCCCTTTTCAGTCCCAAAGCTGGCAACAACCTCCCATAGGTTGTTATCTCCAGCTCGGATGGATACCCACGCGTTTGTGAGCAACAACCCCTACGAGATCCCATTTTTTGTTAAGGGCATTGACTGTAGGCATGCGGCATGGCCCTTGAGAATACGGATCCACGAACGTTTCTTCTCGTGAGCCTGGAAGTCTTGCCATTTATATACATGATCTGAGGCCAAGACTGGGTTCCAGAAGATTTTCGAAGGTCTCTGACGCGATTGGAACAAGAGCACAGGCAGCGAAAGAGGAGATCCAAGCTTGTTTCAAGAGTCCACAGACACAGAGTCAGGAATTTGTAGCAGTTGGACTTCAACTGCAAGCATTTGATAAGAACCCCGGAGACGATGTACAGTAATGACTGGGAAGGACGTTTTTGTTTTTGTTTTTAACGCTACTAGTAACAAGTGCATCGCTTCTAGTTACAAGTGCCTTACTACTAGGAGCAAGGTTCGCTACTAGGAACAAATGCATCGCTACTAGGAGCAAGGACGCTACTAGGGGCTCCTGGCATCG